GTTAAAGCCTTTGTTTTCAAAAGTTTAATAACCTTTGACAGGTGTCATTGAGCTGTGTTGTTTCAGCTGGTTGTTGCTAAGAAATTATTCCGCTTAAAAATTATGCTTTACAGAAATTCTGTGGTTTTCTTTGAACAGTGACTTAGGAACTGCTTCGATTCAGCAGTGAAAAATTATCGTAAAAATAAAAAAGAGGCCCGCCCTATATGGCTCATTTTTGAAAATCTGACGATCTAGTAATGGCTGGAGAATTTATCTAAATTAGGTACAACAGAAATTTAGAACTAAGAGACCGGTCATTTTTTATGGCCGGGGTTGGGGCCGAAGACAGAAGGTTTTCCCTCCAGAAATTATTTTACTTGACTTACAACCCATTATAAATATTTTCTACCCAACGACAGAATAGGCATATTTTCTTCCTACCCAATCTAAAGCTAAAGATTGGAATCATCACAGTTAAATGTAGTTTTGTCAACATCTACATGCGTGCCTCAATTATTTGACTTACACCTATATATGCATCTAATCGATAGGCATCATAAAAGATATTTGCCTAACCCTGGTCATAAAAAATTTCCCGTCCCTGAGGAAGTTTCAATATTCATATAGTGGCGGCGCAAGCCCGGGATAAGTGGAAGGGACAAAAGGGGGTTCAGGACAATGCGCTTTTGGACCACACCCTTTTTCCCATGAGAAGCATTTTCTTCCGTAGAAAGACCCCTTGTCTCTCAAGAAATGTCATTTAATTTACCGTTGGAAATGAACACTATCGCCTAAAGCTTAATTCCAGAGTTTGGAACTGGAAATTTTACGTGTGTAAAAATCGAAGACTAGCCAAGTCAAACTAGTAACAACTTTCAAAAGTTACACTGCCACGAAATCAAATACAACGATCTGTTCAAGGTACAATTAGTTCACAAGAGTTTTTGAGGGGATACAAAGTTCTAATCGATAAACCAAGTTTTTAGCTGTTGGATATTATGGACTATAAGATCAGCTTCCTCGATTTAATGGCAAATTGTTCTCGAAGAATTGATAAGTCAATTCTGCTGGAAATATCTCTCTCGCTACTTATTTAAAGAAGATTTTATGGCATGCCTGCAACCTTCTTAAAGAGTCTGCAACCTTCTTAAAGAAAAAGCTTTTTGACCAGGAAAGAATCGCTTTAGTATAGCAAAACGCTTTTCAATCTCTCAATTCAATTTTAATCTTAACCGACAAGCCGAAAATTACCGACAGCTACTTCAAAATGAAAGAGGGTATTTGTAAAAGTACCAGTTTGTAGATATTTGTTTTCTTGTTCGCTAATCGCTACCATAATATACCCCTGAATTCTTTATGCTTCCTTCTGTTGTCAAACTACACCTTTAGTCATCTTCTTGAAGATTTTTATTATCTTTATTCTTCTTTAGCTAGTCCTGTCACGTAATGACTTAGTGTTTATGCTATTATTATGTAAATACTTGGCTACGTAAAAATTCAATTAGCTTCCGTTGGAAATGTTTTTGGCTTGTTACTTTTTTATTGGAACAGCCAGGATGCATCCCTAGTGGCTTGTTATGGCACTAGCAGTTTATGTAATAGGTCCAGCAGTGTTTGTAGAAGAGTGTTTAGTGCCTCAATTTATTTGCAAGCTATTTCGTTTTAATTAAGTATGTTGTTATTTCAAATTCCTGTGAATCAGTGCTTGCATTATCGCCATCGTCGTAGTCATGGCAGAGAAGAGAAAGGTGTACAGATTGCGTCGTTATTTTTCCAGCCAACCTAACTATGCCTTACCATTTTATAAACACCCTATCCACAGGCCCACACCCCCTGCCTCACCACGTCCCTGAGAAAATCAACGACCAGAGTCGACTATAAAAGTACTTTGCAACTTCTTGGCGAGAAATTGCGGGGAGAGGTGGGGGGGGAGTTGCCATGAGCATTAAATTTGTAGAAAGATTCTATCTGGGCCAAGAAAAACTATCCACAACAATTTTTTATGCTTTTTTTTCTTTCCTAATATTATAGCCTTTAGCATAATTATCCCAGGGCAGACCCTCATAGACAACAAAGGCGTCGTGGCAGCCATATTTGCGAGTTCGACCAAAGGGCATGTCCTGCTTGATGTGTTAGCATTTTACAAAAGTTTTACTAAAGTCATTTAATGTATACGTAACTAATGAATACTTCTAACATGTAGCCACGCATAGCCAATTATATCACCACATTACTTTAATTTTTGATTTTGATTTTTTGAATTACAATTATTATCTACATGGCTCCTTGCCGTTTTGCGTCGTTTCTGTCCATACTTATTTCGAATTTTTAATCACCACATTCATAAAACCCGGTGGACAGCGTCATCTAGCGTGGAAGGTTTAGACTGGGCGTGCAAGCTTCACAAGCAAAGGCTATTACATTAAGCTTTAGTTCTCGTTCACTTCTCGACAATACTTTAAAGCTAAGAAGCATATTTCCAATAATGATAACAAAATATGAACATCGAATGGACGTCAAATAAGGATATTAGCTAGGGCTCAATTCTTGATGGTAGCAACTTCAAATTTCTTTATTTATTCTTTTTATTCAAGTATTAAAGAAATAGTAGCAGAAATACACTCTTATTTATTGGATCACATTAAGAAACAAAATAACGTACACAATGCTAAAATCCAGTTAATTTATCACTGCTTGGACCATTGGAACTGGGAACGCTTTGCAAATTGGGGAGGAGTGCGGGTGTTGGGGAGAACTAACGGGGGCACGCTTTGAGTTGTTGAGAAAGGTAGGCATCTAGCACTAGTAGCCAGGATTGTATTATGGTTAGAAAAATAGATTTAACGGTAATTAAAGCAGCCAGACACTGTACCAGATGCTGTGAAGATATCATTTCAAACGTGCTTTCAAGCAATGGTGGCGTCAGCCACTAGGCTCTGGTGGGGGGGGGGGGCAAAACAAAAATGTTGGACCACGCCTTCTTTACGCCAAAAAATGCCCTTTTACCAACAAGGAACATCGATTTTACCTGAAAGGAAGGCCCACGACGAACTTATGGTTACATAAAGGCAGTTTGAGAGTAGTGAAATAAAGCTGACTGACTTGGCCTAAGATCGCCCAGATTGGGTTTATTAAAACGGCTGTTTCAGTTCGGTAGTTGTTTCGCATTAATTCTGTAAATCCAAACGAAGCCTGTAAATTTTGAAATTGTCAAATATCTTTTAAAAAATACTCTAGAGCAAGTTTGATACATTTTGGATACAATTTTCGGCTAAAATATTGCACTTTGTCAAAGCCGTAAATTTTCCCCTTGTTTTGACTCTTGAGAAAGCGACAATCTTGCATGCGCCAGATTGGCGGGTAAAAATTTTAATGAAACCCTGACATGCCATGATGTTTTAAAATTATTTGCAAGTGTTTGCTTCTTTTCTTTTCGGTATTTGTTATGCGTACGTGCTAATATTTACCAGTGGCGGCTCTTGCTAATGGGCATCTGGGGCAATGCCCCCTCAAAAAGATTCAAAGGAAATCTATGATATTCATATTTAATTTTGAAGAAAGTCTTACTGTGGTTAATTATTTAAGTTTGTATTTCTTCTAGAAAAAGCTCCTTGCTATCCCGTCTCGTCCTTAGCCTCGCTTCTGGCCCGCTTGTGCCTTGAGCGATGATGTCATTTTACGGGCAAAGTTTTTTTGCCCCTAGCCGACATGCGCACAAGCTAATTTTCGACCTCGAGCATTGCAAAACGCGGCCTGTGATTGGCTTATTTGAAGGAAAAAAAATGACATAAATGACATTTGCCCATAAAATGACATCATCGCTAAACAACAACCACATCTATATATGCTTTTTCTTCTGCGCTCCATGACGATCAACATCGAGCCATGAATACAGTGAAAAATTTGCAAACTCGACCTTTTTATCGAATATCGCAATATTGATGGTCTGCCCTCCCAATTGTGAAAGTCACGAGCCGCCATTGAATTTACATACCGAAAACATACCCAATCAGGGCGACGCCAGAAATTTAGGTCGTCAAGACAACTAAGTAGCATCGCAGGTTTTTCAAAAAACATTGTAAAACCAATTACCTGATCTTCTGAAAGGTAAATTTGAAGAGCCTGAAGGATTTGTTGGTGCAACACTAGGCATTTAATTGCCTCCAATTAAGATGCCTTTCATCGATGATTCATTTTGCGTCATTGTCCCTTACTCGTAGCGTTTTGGCCGTGAAATATATGTTGCCTTTCTTTTATACCTTCTCGGGCAAAATTTTTCGAGAAACGCCTTCTCCGCATACACATTTGACTAAGATGAAGGCTGCTCGGAGGCTGCAATGTGCAGAAGCAGTAATCGCTTTTCTGATTGTAAAGGAAGGGGAAAATGCATAAGAATAGGCATCGATAGAAGTGGGTTAATCGTAGAAACAAAGTTAGCGTTGATAAATTCGCCCTAAATCACGACGATTTGTACGCCATGTTTTCGTGCTATCCACAAATTGACAAGGAGCTATCCTTCAAATGCTCTTGTCAATACACTGAACAATAGCAATCAACGAGGATTAGAAAATGCAAAAAGAACTTCCCGGCATTTTATTGCATATTTTAAAATGGAAACTCCGGAATGTTGATAATTTGAAAATGTATGGCAATAATTAGGTAACCTCTGCGAATACACTAGGCATTTTGTTGCGGATCAACTAAATGCGGCAATTAAATGCCTAAGTGTATTCCAGCGCGAAATAGAAAAATTTTAAATTTTATCTAGGTATATTCAATCAGAAGGACGTGACCCTAAGTCTTATTAGAGGAAAACGCCCCCATTATTTATCTAAAATGACGTCCGTGATGGCAGCTCGTGGTAGAACTGCAACTTCTACCGACTGCCTAAAATCACGGATGGTTCCAACGCCCCACCCAGTGCACTCCATAGAGATAATGTACTCATTCTTTGTACACAAAAAGCGCACTCGCATCACCGACACCACGGCGACGTGGACAACATGTATCCCACAATTCCTTAGTACCTCTAGTTCGTAGTTGTTGGAGTCGTAAAGTTGTGACAGAAAACATTTATCCCTGAAGATGCTTCGCCTTATCGTTGTTTTTGCAGTATTTGCAACATTTATATCGTCAAATAAAGGTTTCTACTTGCCTGGTCTGGCTCCTATATCATATTGCAAAGTGCAGCATGAACAGCCTAATTGTGATGTAAGTATAAAGAGTCCTTTCAAGAAAATGGGCCTAATATTTAACCACAGTTGAAATTAGCAAGTCCAGTGGTATCCCATGCTAGACTCCAAGTTAATGGTTCCAGGTTGTTAAGTTTACCAAATTTTAGATTTGAGATACACATTTTTGTTGTAAAGGTAGTTTAATGTGCTTTAGTATTGATGGGCAGATACGGAAAACAGTTTGCAGTCCGCGTCTGCTGACACAGACAGCATATGCTGCTTGGAAACGTTGGAAAATTATCTTCCATAGATGTAACAGGATTTTGTAGGTTATATTAAGCTTGTCAGCAGCTTATTTATTTTTCGCAATTTTAATTTTGTATCTCCATGCTGCAAAACGCGCATTCGTCATTTAGAGACGGCAAAAGCAGCAAACTAAGACGGCGATAATGTACTGGCAGGTTACATCATGTGGGCATTTTATGAAGCTAGGTTATGTTTAGAATCAGTGTCCCTGGAAAAACGACATTCCTTTTTCTTTGTCATATAGTGTATAATGTATAAGTATTTAACAATATTTCCTACAATATTCCCTAGTATTATTAGACAAAACAGTTAGGCCAATTATTTTGATTGATTATTGGAGTTTGCAGTTTGCTCAGATTGTTAGGACTGAAAGCTAATAATAAGTTGCCTTGCCATCTTTCAGGGGGTGTTGTAATAAGGTGTATCATAGGAAGGGCACACCTACCATTGTGTAAAATCAGGATAATAGATGGGTTCTGAAATTTTGCAATCTGTAGTAAATTTTCAGATTCCTGATGTTAGTTCTTGTGAAGAAACCTTGATCTTTAGAAAAGGCCTAGTTTTTACTTACATGCATGTATACATTGCTTACCTTAAGATTTAACTTTGGCTAATGGTTTTTATAAAAACAGATGTTTGGCATGATATGTATAAGTGTACTTAGCTTTTGTCCTAACTCTTTATCGAGAGTGTTGTGATTCCGCAAATTAACTAAAAAAGACTTTTGCAATGCATAACTAGAAGTTCAAATGAATTGGTGCTCCCAAAGGTTGAAAATAACGTGTGTTGGGTATTACATATACTTCAAACGTCATTTTTGCAGAATTTCAAGCTTGTAATTTAGGCTGAATATAAATTTGGACTCTTAAAGTTGAAAATTAACATTAGGGGACACCTGGGGGATGAGGGGGCAGTTCCCCCAATACTTTGAAGGACAATGGTGTTTTGTTCTAAAACAATAGGAAAATGTGATTTCCTTTTATTAACAACCAATTCTGTCATCATTTGCAATCCATTTCACATGCCAACCTCCTTCTACCAATTGTTTACCAAAAAAATTTGTTTACTCTGCATGCAACATTACACTCTCTTTATGCATATTTGTCATACCTTTCTCAGTTGAATTCTTTCACTTAAATCAATCTGGAATTTGTTAGTTTTTACTTATTTTTATGCATGTGTACATTTTATATTAAAGTCAGACAGGAAAAACATCATTCCTTCTATGAAAAAAATTACTGTAAACTTAAATCAAGAATTGCTTAATTATGTTTGACATAGTTCCAGCTTATCATCTGTGTGTTACCTGCTTTGACAATATACCATTGTGATGACAAAGATTGCAGCATTCAGTAATAGATTACACTTAAACTTTTGTCCTTATAATGAAATCATCATTTTTTTTACCAGTCAAAAGTTCACTTGTTTGTCAACTCTCTTGATTCTGTTGAGTCAGTGATCCCCTATGAATACAGCAAGTAAGTGTCTTTTTTATGTTACTTAAACTGGTTTTTGTCATAAATTGTGATTTGGTGTTTTTTATTTGTCTCATACTGAAACTAATAGAAGTGGCAGGTGTTTAGCAAGTTAGCCAAAATCACTCTTTCATAAACTTTGGCTTAATAATTATTTTGATAGAAATTCCCAAGCTCTGACAAACAAACTGAAATTCTGCAAAATGTTTTATTAAATATATCCACATGATTGCATGGGCACACAAAGTTCCATGCCTGTGTTATCAGAAAAATATCAAATGACCATGGGTATTTTTTGGTTTTTGGAAAAAATAGAAGCTTCTGTTTCTATCAAAGATAATACCATGAATGAAATTATGCTCTAAGTTGTGAGAAGAAAAAACATTCCAAAGTAACATAGATTTTTTACTTTAGAAATAGCTATAAATACTGTTTAGATTGTTCTTCTTTGTTAATGGATTAAACTGTTAATATGGTTATCATTGAATGATTTAATTGTTTTCTACATTAAAAATGCCTATTGTTTATATAATAAACTTTTTTGTTTAGATTTGATTTTTGCCAAACCCCTAAAAACACTCCTTCACCATCAGAAAACCTTGGACAGGTTAGTAGTTTTGCTAAGGTCTGCCTCCTTTCAAACTGTAGCACTAAATTTGGTTACTTCAGTGATTTGCATCAATTTATGTAATATATGATAGAAAAGTTTTCTTGCATTCTGAATGCCCTCAGTTTAAACTGTTATGCTGACCAAGTGAATCTTCATACACAAACTCACTATGTGTGTCAGATTTACCAATTCTAACTATGGAGAAAGTTTTTATCAGTGATGATATATCCTTAACATACATTCCATGCTGTATTATCTTTCGAGACAGAAGGTCAACTTGTACAATTGCAGAATAGCAAATGACTGTTGACTGTGTTTTGCTATCTTGATGCTATTATATAGTTTTAATATAAACTGTTTTCTTCTTTTGACAAAAATTACTTTTCTGAGTACTTTAGCTTTCTCTATCTTTGCTCAAATCTTTTTCAACGCAAATTGTGTTCATTTTGTGAATTGAGAAAATACACAAACAAAAAGAAAACTACTGAAAAAATCTACTTTGTAGATTTTGATTATTGATAAATCAAAGCTTCTTTTTTTAACTTAAGGTGGTGTTTGGAGAAAGAATCAGGCCTTCTCCTTATAAGGTATGCCTTGCATTTAAAAAAGTTATGTTACAAAAAAGTGTTTTCTATTGAAAGTTGAGGCAGGGATGAAAAAGTTTTTTGTTTTACTTTACACCTTTAAATGGCTGTCTGTTCAAATCATGCAAACTGCCTGTTGAAGCCATCTTTTTTTCTTGACTATAGCATTTTGTACCTTCTTTTGATTTTTTAATCTAAAGACCCTAATTCTTATTATTATTATTGAAAAAAGTGTACAAATTTAAAGACCTCTGTGATTATGTTATGAACATTTCTATTGACTGGTCTTTCATAAATGTTCTATAGGCAAAGCTGTACACATTTTTGTTACAGAACAGGGTAGTTCTAAGTTGCTTGATTGCCTGGGGATTGCGTCAATCATGAAACTTGGAGTAGCAACTTAGAACGAACCCTCTTTTTCTACACACCTAAAGTGTCTATAATGATACATGTGCAATCTTTCTACCTGTAAATCTTTTGAGCCAAAATATGTTTTCAGCATCATATGTTAAAATGGCTAAAATGTCAATGGTTTGTTTTAGTTGGCTTTTGGCAACAACACAGCTTGTGATGAGGTTTGTACAAAAACATATGATCTGAAGAAAGAAGAGGATGTCAAGAAACTCCAATTCTTGAAGCAAAAAATAGCAGAAAACTATCAACAGCATTGGTATGTTTAAAGCTGATATTATAAAACCTAGAGTTTATTCTGACAAAGTTTGTGCATTTGAAACCAGGTCGATCATGGTGTTTAGTAATATTATTAAAGTTGCAATTTCATTTTTAACTTTTGTAACCCTAGAATCAAATTTTCTTTAACAGAGACCAGAGCTTATTGCACATCTTATGATCTCTTGCCAATTTTTAGGATTGTTGACAATATGCCAATTACCTGGTGCTATGAAGTCGCAGATGAGGATCAGAAATACTGCTCAACTGGTTTTCCAGTTGGATGTTTTGTCACTGAGTCAAGTGTGCCACAGGATGCTTGTGTTATCAGTGTAAGTATATTTGGAATTGCTGTTTAGAGTTGCTCTGTAAAGTATGAATCACCCATGTATATTATGTTTTTGAAGGTTGTATTGAAGTATTATACTGTCCTCTGTGGTTGTCAATTTTTAAATGCTCAAATGTATTCAATTTGCATATTATTATGTATTTGATTACTTTCTTTTCTACAGAACAAATTCAACTCACCAAACACATATTATGTTTTCAACCATGTTGACATTACCATAAAATATCACAGTGGAAATGGAGAAGACTGGGCTGGTGCAAGATTGTTGTCTGCAAAAATCGAACCAAGGAGGTAAGAAGTCAAGCTACATTTAAAAAGAGTGTCACCGATGCATCTGCAAAACGTAAGAGTTATATGGAGACCAGGCCAAAGAGAATCATCGGTGATGCATAGAAATAATATGGAAACCTGGCTTAAATACTTGTGTAGAAAGACCTAAATCAAAATGACTTGTAGGCTAAAATATGGCATATAGCCACAGGGTTCGTTGATCAGCACCTTGTATTCCTTGAACTTCGAGAAAGATTCTAGTTTAGTAATTAAGGATATTCGAATTCAGTTCAACAATTCAATTTTCTGCTGTTCAGAGTAGGTATCAATAGTGCAACAGAAAATAAGAAATTATTGAAATAAAAAATAAGATGTTCTCCTGAAGAGTGAGTTACTCACAAAACAGGCTTGTAGAGATAAATCATGTAGTCTTATTTTCTTCAACTCTATGATATATATATAGATTTATATATTATATATGTATATATATGGCATGATTATTTCTATTGCTTTGAAGCATTGAGCATTCTGATTCGAAGAGCTGCTCTAAAGCAATGAATGCAAAAGGAATCCCCGGGGAGCTGAAAAAGGAAGGAGAAGTGAAGATTAAATACACCTATTCAGTTACATACTTGGTAATTATATTTTCATCACACTTGATTTCATTATAATTTATCTAGAGCATGTTAACTTTTATGTGAACCTTTCTGTTCAAACCATTTGTTGTTGAGTTACACTTTGTCATTCTAAAAGATTCATTTGGCTTTAAAGGACCCCCTTGGTCAAATAATTTTTCTATCTTTATTTCTTTTGTAGTAAACCCTAATTGTCATTTGCTTAGATAAATTTTCTTGATTTCATCTCATCCCTTGACATTATCAGTTGTTCTAACTGGGGTTGATCCATAAAATATTATTCATATCTCATATTTAAAACAAAGGTTCTGTGATGTGTAACATTTTCATCCAAACAAAGGTCAGTATAAAAGGTGTTAGTAAACAACGAATTTTTACGTGGTAAATTGTATTTTGAAGTATCCTTGTTGTTTTTAAACAGGAAGACAACAAGTTGAAATGGGCTTCACGCTGGGATTACATTCTAGACTCAATGCCACACACAAGGATTCATTGGTTCAGGTAGGCTTTCAAGGCAATATGTCCCGATGCATTTCAATGGTCAATTGAATTCCCATTGGTTGGAATATTCAATAGACCCATTGTTGTGTATCCAATCAGCAACGTAAGACTAGTCTCCACGCCACACAGAGCTTTTTTTTAACCCTGAACGGATATAGGGACCGGGCATAGGGACCGGGCATAGGGACCGGGCATAGGGACCGGACAAAGTGACTGGACATAGGGACCGGACTTAAAATAGTGAATCAAATAATCAAGCATGAGCAAAAACTGACACATGAATGAATGTTCAATGAATGAACTAAACAATGACTCAAATTTGGCCAAGACCGTTTAGCTTTCCCTATAAACCCCCCAGTAACACAATTCTGACGCTAATCCTTAATCATAAATGCTTCTCCAGAGGATAGAAAACAGACAATAACTAATTTTATGAAAAATGCAATACAGTATCTCGCAATTTTAATATTTTTTCAAGAGCTATAAAAGTTGGGAGATTCAAGAGATTTCTTACTCGAATTGAATTTCAAATTTTGGAACTTTTTTCTTTTCCTTTAATAATTTTTTTGAATCGTTATTTTGTGTTGTTATTCTCTGAAATTTCCCATGCGAATTTTCACGTCTGTTTTTTTCTTTTCTGTAGCATCATGAACTCACTGGTTATCGTGTTGTTCTTGTCCGGTATGGTTGGAATGATCTTGTTGCGAACACTTCACCGTGACATTGCACGCTACAATCAACTCTCTGATTCTGGGGTATGCTATATTTCATTTTAATCAACAGTCATTGGAAATTCAATATAGTTCAGCATTTTGTACGTCAAATAACTAATCACTCCTTGATGAAGAATTATGCTCGAAACGTCCCAACAATCTTTCACGTCTGTGAACAAAGTCATACTTTTACTATACTAATTTGTATTTATTTGTCATTTAACATGTTGGGTTGGAAGGGATTTGCCAACGCTAGCTCTGACCTATCTTTTTGAAATTCAATTTGTCTTTAATGATAAAAAAAACAGGTTTTAACGCATTTTTCGGACCAGCCTTATTCCAATTCAAATTTCCACTGCCAATTCAAATATGTACGAATTCTAAATGCTCACTGAAATTGCCTTAAGTCATGATAGCATTGATTCGGTATCACAGGGATCAAAGTGGCACTGATTTTTTTAATCATGCTTGTGAGATCCAATGTCTTGCGATATTTGTAAGAATATCCTTGATCTTTCTGTTTCATTGATGGCTGTAGAAGATAAGGTTTTCCACCGTTAACATTTTTGTAATATTTGTCAAGGTATCAAAGTTTCTTATAAGAAATTGATAAGGAATAGTGAATTTTACAAGACATTTAATTTAATAAGAAATTCATCTTGAAAACAGGAAGAGGCTCATGAAGAATTCGGATGGAAGCTTCTGCACGGTGATGTTTTCCGGCCACCACGGGCAGGGATGCTGCTGTCCGTCTGTATTGGTGTTGGGTCCCAAATCTCCATTATGATATCAGTAACCCTTGGTAAGCTAGCCTGGCATGATGTTTGCAGAGTACATCAGATTTTAAAAATATTATGAATTTAGTAATTTTTCATTAACTTTTCATCTTATTTAAGCCAACAGTGTTACCGTTTAAGCTTCTTCTATTGTCATAAGTATGCTTGGTTTTTCTGTCAGATGACTTTGAGACTTTTTCGATGTATGCAATATTTTGCTCTTTCTTCCAAATAAACAGTTATTTCATGAATTCCTTTATATTTTTTATCAGAGCATCAACGCAAGCTTTTTTTATTGCAGTATTCGCTTGCCTTGGTTTCCTGTCACCTGCAAACAGAGGAGCTTTAATGACTTGTGTCCTGGTGTGTATTCATATCTTCTATATGTGTGTTTTTGCGATCAAAGCATCCAATCCATTTTTCATGCACTTACTCTCATAGTTTCCCTCATCACTGACGTTCTTTATCATTTCAGGTACTCTTTGTTTGTTTGGGAACTGTTGGTGGATATATTTCGTCACGAATGTACAAAAGTGAGTTTAAATTTAGCGGCATTTGATTACAACCTTCCTTAATGAATTATGGTTAGAGCTTTAGAACAGTGAAGCCTGGTGTAATTCATTATGGCTGGAATGAAGGAAGCCTTACACAAGGACATCTTTATTTCTAGCCTTATTTGTTTGCATTATCCCTCGCAGGAGTAATCTCTGAAGCAAAGTATTATGATACAGAAATAGAGAGAATGAAAATTACTGTTTGCCCGTCTGTCATAAAGTGCTCGACACCGTATAGGCAGAGCTGTACCCCTGTTGCTTTTTGCCTGTTGATCTGAACATATGTTACCTGATGATCGCATTAGGCGTGAAACACAGTGTCGCAACTTAGAACCGTCCTGTCTGTTCTATACACCATTAGCAATAACAGAGAGAGTTAAAATAGAATTAATTTGAATAAACGATTTGACATTGAACTGAAGCTCTTCAATTGTTGAATATTTGTAGTTATTTGGGTCATCGATAAAGATAAGTTAACGAATAACTGATCAAACAAAACTTTCTTTTTTGCTTGACTAACTATGATTTTTTCCTTCTTAGTGATTGGAGGTGAACGCTGGAAGACAAACGTCATGCTTACGTCATTTCTGTTCCCGGGGTATGTTCGAACCATTTAAAAATTGTTTACCAACATGAATGCGCTGTACTGCCTTCAAATATGAAATAAAAGTTTAGCTTTGTATACTAACGTTTTCACGAAGTCTCATATTTTTTTTCTGATACTTCAGTTGAACTCATTAATGAAAAGAGTTTGCTCTCAGTAATGTTTTAATTTGTATCGAATTTTTCAAGTAGTTTCCATTATCATAACGGCAGCAATGCCTTTTCTAGTTTTCAGGCTTACCTATTTATGCATATTTTATAATTTTATGGCAAAGTTGCCATCCAGATGGAAGAAATACTTTTGCAAGATCATTTTTTACACATAGTTGCAATTTTCTAGGATCGTTTTTGGCGTGTTCTTCACTTTAAACTTGGCATTATGGGTAAAAGGCTCCTCCGCGGCAGTCCCATTCACAACTTTGGTTGCTCTTCTAGCGTTATGGTGAGAAAATTTATAATTATTCTTGCGATACTAGAGGCTATATTGGTCGGGTAATAAAACAGATATTATACCAGAAAAACAAAACCTTTGCAATTCAATCGCAATATTTTTGTCGATCGTTCGTGTAAATCTGCTGGTTTAAATTCTGCCAGGATTACACTGATCACCATTTTTTGTAGGAGATTCTGTCAAAAAGCATTTTTTCCTTCCTTGATCTCCATGCTTTCTTCCCAAAAATTTACTGAAGAGAATAGAGAATTTACACGAACTTTCAATGTAGAATTATGTATTTTGAAATCTTTTTACTGTATTGCAATACTTTTTCATGACGTGTGATAACGTTCTTCCGGTTCTTAGGTTTGGTGTCTCAGTACCATTGACATTCCTTGGTGCCTACCTTGGATTCAAAAAGAAGGTAACCTGTTTTATCTGAAATAAATCTTTATCATCTCGTTGAATATCTATCATCTGAAAAAATTGTGTGGTTTTATTAATTTAAGCTACACACAAGCTGCTTTGATGTAAAGAACCAGTTCTAAGTTGCCACTTTGAGTTTCACGCTTAATGCGATCGTCAGGCATCTGTGAAACTCAGAATCGCAACTCAAAACCGTTCCGTTTCATTCACCAAAATGTGAGCAGCTTTTTTTATGCGGCATTGAGTACTTACGTGTACTTAAAACAGTTTTTTTCATAAGCTACCAGTTGAATAGTTTTAACCTAATCTTTTAGCATTGTAGAATGCATCATTCCGATAGTGTTTCATTAACAGTGATCTCTTCTGTTTTCAGGCACTTGAGCCCCCCGTCCGGACCAACCAGATCCCTCGCCAGATTCCAGAACAGGTACGTTGACATACGGAGGTTATGTTCTCGTTTAATTTCCTGATAGTTATTATAGGTTAAAGTTGAAATTATAACTTACTAAATCTTGCTTTATTGTTATTAAGTTCCTGATTTTAAAACTTAACTGTACACAAAGTTTTCCTAGACAAATTACGTCATGTTTTTCACTTATATCGAAATACTCCGTAATATGTACGTCTTATATCTATAAGTCTTTAAGTTGTACGAGTCTAACTTCCTTTTTATCTAATCCCAAATCGTGCGTATACTTTATTCCTTACTATGGTAGCATATTTATCCATGCAATATTGATCAATATTCTATTTTTTAGATAGTCGCATTTTATCAAAATTTGCACTAAATCCTGCTTTCGATTTACTTTCAGAGTATTTACACACGACCACTGCCATCAATAGTAATGGGCGGAATTCTGCCATTTGGTTGTATCTTCATACAGCTCTTTTTCATTTTAAACAGTATATGGTTAGTTTATCGGTTATTTATCTTTGATTTAACAAGTTGATAGATTCACTGAGCCTCATAGTAACATGTTGTCTCTAGCTGTCCCATGATGCATCACGACTTTTTTATACAAAACAGCAAATAATTAAAGCACTTGAGAAGCTTATTCAAGTGAAGTTGATATATTTTAGAATAGAAGATTGTTGCTATTTGTCGGTCAATGTGTGCGAAGATCTAAGAATGATTCATATTTCATAGGTTTATTAACAATAACAAACTGATTGAAAAATAGACGTTAAAGAAAACAAATGCCTAGCTTACCAATCTTCTGCTCTCTCGGCCGATCATTCGTGTTTTTTTAACAAGTTATCTTTAAAATTATTGTGCTCAGTATAGCCAAGACATTTTACTGTTTGTCATGTATTTTTATATGTATGTTTGTACTTTACTTCTTTCTGCTGCTTTATTAAATGGGTTGTTGGCTGCATCGTATCTGATACCCTATCATAACCTTCGCATGCTCTTCTCTCGAATGCAAAATCGAAGCCGTAAAATTATGAAGATACCGCTGATTGTTATTGTATCTGTGACAACCTACACTTTTATAGTTTGTTTTCTAATTGTGATTTCTGTTGCTTTTAAAGGTCGCATCAAATTTACTATATGTTTGGTTTCCTGTTCCTTGTATTCCTCATCTTGGCGATAACTTGCTCAGAAACGACCATCCTATTGTGTTACTTCCATCTATGCGCAGAAGTAAGTCTGCTTTAATTGTTTATATGCTACAGCAGAAAGCAACACTTTTCTAGAAATTAAGAACTGTTTTTATAGGGTCAGTTATTAGTTCCTTTTATACCAAGCATCTAATAGCAGGTTTTAGGACAATGAAAAGCTATGTTTATCGAACATGGCCATAATCATTCTACCCGACCTGGCCACTGCTACTAAGATGTTGGAGTGTACTACTGAGTTTTTTTAAGGCTTTTGGCCTCTGGATAGTTTCTCTGAAACATTACAACAGATTTTAAATTCAAAGAGAAAAGCTCTCTATGCTCATAACACAAAAGCTTCTGTCACGATACAAAGAAAAAGAACCCAGACCTATTGCTCCAAGTAGTTTAACTGCATAATTAACTGCGTTTAAAAAGACTGTATTTCTGGTTAATGGGGTGCAAATTTTCTCAAATCCGCTTATGTCAGGAACGGTGAAAGTGAAAAGACCGAAGGATATGTTAATAAATTCTCATCATTTGTTAATTATCGCTGATTAAAGTAGTATTGAATATCCATTTCGGTTTCATATATCCTAAATATGCCCAAAGCCTTTATAATTTTTATTTTTTAGCATGTTACAGTGATTTGCATCAGTATTACAGCCATATTATAGCAGCAATACTATAGCGATATTACAGCAATATCATATCAATATTATAGCAGTATTATAGTAATATTAAAGCAATATGATAACAGCAATATTACAGCAATATGATAACAGCAATATGATAACAGCAATATGATAACAGCAATATGATAACAGCAATATGATAACAGCAATTTTATAGAAGCAGTATCATAGAAATATATTACAGCAATATTATAGCTCTCTTATAGCAGCAACATTAAAGCAGCAATATTATAGCAGCAATACTATAGCAGTAATACTATAGCAGTAAAACAATCAATCTTCACTTTCTGTTTCAAACAGTAATCGAATTTCCTGTTAAGCAATAACAACATAATCGAGTTTTTATCGCTCCTTTACCAGCTGTTTTTATCGTTTTACAGGACTACAGATGGTGGTGGAGGTCATTTCTCACTAGCGCATTCACTGGGGTCTATCTATTCATTTATTCAATACACTATTTTGCAACCAAGCTGACTATCACTGGCGCCACCAGCACCTTCCTTTATTTTGGTTACACGTTTATCATGGTCCTTCTCTTCACTCTCTTATCAGGTGAGTGTTTTTATGACTTGAGTTCGTGTCTCCTAAAGTAGTTCAGCATACGAAAATTGTTTTCCGCATTATCGCTTTTTGCATTATTACGGACATTTCAAAAGAATTGACAAGAAATTTTGTTAAAGAATATTTTGTACATCTATCCGTACTCTCAAGCAGTAGTTTTTGTCCCTCGTGCGTACTCTCTTGTCGCATTATTTTCTAAAGAAGGTTTGCGTCCATTCAAAAGGATTGCGTTCCTACCAGCCAAAAAAGTTCCGTCATTTATGAATTTACGTGCCAGTGTGATTCTGGCTACGTAGGACGCACAACCCAAAGATTTGGGGATAGGATAAAACAGGATGTTTCTTCCAACACAAGAAACAAAACTGCCCCTCAAAGAGAACAGCCTCCTCGATCTTGTAGGTCTAGAAACACTGTTAAAACAAGCGATTCTGCCATCGGTCAACATCTTTTAGACAACCCAGATTGTGCAAAACTCTATAATGACGACATGTTTCGGATAATTGACAGGGCCCGGTCGTCCTTCCATCTAGCAGTTTTGGAGTCGATCTACATAAAAACGAAAAAGCCGCCATTGTGTAGACAGAAGGAGTTCGTTTTCTCTCTTGGACTCCATTGGTAATTTTTCTTTAGGCTCGCGGCACTGATTGGTCAACCCTACCGGTCTTGTGCTTGCGTTTTTCTGATTGGCCCTTTACATGCCTAAAACTGAAACATTTTAAGGAAGATTTTAGTTGTGAAGGAAGTAATAGAATTATTTGTTCCGTAAAACTGTAAGGTTATAGTTTCCCAGTTCGGGTTCAACTAACACTACATCATTTTCTATCGTGTATCCGCAAATCAAATATTTCTACATTATTTTGGCCCCAAGAAAAAATCATTATTATCCTCAATTGCTAATAAACTTGAGCCAAATAGCTGGACACATTTGTTAGATAATAGCCAAGGTCAGTCAGTTTAGAACGTTGTGAATGGTCTTTTTTACCGAATTGGAGCTTATTTAAAATGTTTGATCGGCGCTTCCGTTATTTTTTCAAGACATAATGCGATATGATCGGAGTTTTTTCGTCATGGCTACAGTGCATCACCTGTATGCTGGCACAATACCCCAGAATCCCTGGTCCATTCATCACTGCTCCAGTTGTCTCATGTTGGCAGCCATTCCTTTTAAGGGTGACATTAAACATTGTTTGCATCCCACCAATATTAACATCACTTTTTCAAGACTTCCTTGTTGTTTTCTGAAAATGTGAAATTTCTTCTCCTTACTCATAGGAACAATTGGATTTTTAGCTTGCTTATTCTTCGTCTACAAAATTTACGGTGCTGTCAAAGTCGATTAGAAAGAGCTCCCGTGAATATAAAGTTGCCCTCGTTGTTAATTTTGAATAGCAAGTATTTAAATCCAGCTAATTGACACCTATTTTTAAGAAACAGTACTGATGTAGCAATCATAATTAGCTCTATGTAAATTACCTGAAATTTCAGAAAGACTTATTGTAATGTGGTACTTCGAGGTAATGTAGTGTGGTAGTAGATGCTTTTGCCGATATCATCGCCGTAGCTGGGACTTCCACCTTTTTGTCTACTCAAAATAATTCGGCGTCCTTTTTGACCCTCAAGTGTCCACTTAAGTGTAAGACCCTTAAGTGCCCATACCCGCGGCCAGTTGGCTATGATGGCCTGCTAAGTAACTTCTTGAAATGGGAATAAAGATGTCTTTAGGGATGGTGACATCTTTCAAGTTTATTGCTTCGTTTGTTCAGCTAAAAGTTGTAATTTTATTTGTAAGTCTTAGAAATTGATAAACTTTCCGTCTGCTATAATATCATATCATTAAGTTAATGGGTGTGACTAAAACAGCTTTTTCATTAGACTGTTAACCGTCGATTTCTGAAAGTTTATTGCCAACGATATCTGGAATTGCAATATATGCGTCATAGGTTAGAAATCGCTTATACTCGTAAAAATGCTACTCAGAATATTTTGGTATTACCGGTTGTTTGGAGCGTTATTTTCTGTTATTTTCTGAAGGCTTTCATACAAAGCTGGCTCAAGTTGAGTATTAATGCATATCGTTGCCATTCAGTGCGTGATTGTTATGTTTTGGCTCATTATATATATAAACTTTCAGATTATTAAACAGTTATTGATACTCATGGTTGTAATGTTTCTTTCCTTTTTAAAATTGCGAGCTTTTTAACCACATAGAATATCTGCTCAAGAAAAAAAGAAGACTAGAAGAAGGGATGACTTCTGGAGAGCGGCTAAATTGGTCTTTCAAATTCTCATTTTTTTAACATACCCAAAGGCTATATTGTACCCTCCCGGCTAACGTGTAGAATACTTGATTTCATACACGTAGAAACGATTGCACAAAAATTCAATTTAGACCCAACGTCCTAGGCACTTACTTTCTTGAAACCAACTGAAGAAATGGAGATTTGACACCCCCTACAACCCCCGCTTAGTACGCCCCTGCCGATGGGTGCCGAGCCACATCGGGGCAGACTTAACTGTATGCGCCCCGAATGGACGCTTTTGGTGTCTGTGGTATTTATGTTTATTCATATTTAATTCTTTTAAGGAGGGTTGCCCTTCAACAAGTTGATTTTCAAGGGGCCCTCCGATGAAAACATTACTTGCAAAAGATACGAAATAAAAGCTATTAAACTATTATTGCTAAATAAAAGCTTTTATTGGCCAGATGAAAATTGACCGTTATCATTCTTGTACTGGAACAGCTGGTTTGCTACTAACATTTCAAAGAGCCTTGAGAAGACAGGAAAGACGGATTTTGGTCTATAGTTAGACTTGTCAGTTTTATCCCCATCTTTGAAATTGGAGTGACTCTAGCAACTTTCCATGAGTCAGGAAAACGACTTGTTTCAATTGATGTATTAAACAAAGAAGCAAGCGAAATTTTAATAAAAGGAAGCACAAGCTTCAGAATGTAGCTAGAGATGTTATCAGTCCTAAAGCTCTTTGCAGTCTTAACCGTGGCAAATGCATCTCTGATCTCCTGCACTTCAATAGACTTGAAGCGGAATGTTGCCTTATGTTTGTTTATTTCATAATGACCAGCAATAAGGGGGTTTGGGGCTGGATCTATTTTGTCAGCAAGATCCTTACCTATGGAGCAAAAGAAACTGTTCATTAAATTAGAAATATCTTTTTGTGAACATTTTCAGAACCTGATTCTTCAAGACAATCGATGCTGCTGGACTTTGATCTTTTATTAAGGAGTTCATTGATTGCTTTCCATGATTCTTTCATGTTACCTTGACACACAGAGATCTTATTAGTACTGCTTCTTTAGCCGGATGTTAAGGATATTGACCTTGTTACGAATCTGTTTGTAAGAGTCCATATGGAATGGTGGTCTGGGTTTTATACCGGTCCAGTCACCTGACATAGAAGGGATCAACTATTTGCTTTTATTTTTCATAGTAGAGACTCTTCCAGTTATGCCAAGGGGAAAAACCTCCTGCTTCCTGCAAAAAATGAAGGTAAATCCCCTTAACCATGTAGCATGAACAGCTCATTTGCGTTTGTAATGTTTGTAAACAGATAGTATTTTAACGTGGTGTTCGTAAACATCGGAGAGGAAAAGGCAAGTTATAAGGGTAATGCAAAGCAACTGTTTGCAAAATTATAAAGCAATATTCTGTGGTATTGGATCATCTTTGGAGGCAGTTCAGTTTTCGGCACTGTGTCTGGAGTAAGATAAGGCCTATGGTCTAAAGAAAGCAACTTGCCTTCCATTCGCAAATTTAACTCACCAACGTTCGTGTATTTTAGAAATGGAAAGAGCAGAGAAGCAGGAAAACTTTTTCAAGCTTGTGCTAATTATTGTGGATATTATTCCAAAACATTTGCGAAATCTTTTCAAAGATTCGTGGCTTCAAAACTACGGTCAGCCATGGGGTGACAACAGACAAGCTGGAGATAAAATGAAACGTGAAATTGCAAAATTCGGTGGGACCTATCCAAACCCAGACGTAGAGCAAAACGTCACGAACGGAGAGACCGAGAAATGGGACTGTTCCACGCTTTTCTTTGCTCTTATTTTCTCAAAGCTGGATTTATTGTCAGGGGAAAGCAGAATCAGAATCAACAATATCCGCGCAGTAAGAAACCAATGTTTTGCTCATTCTTCCAAAGCCGAGATACCAAGCGATATTTTTGCCCAATTAGTTGAAGATTTAGCAAAGATTTTTAGATATTTTGGTTGGGATGAAAAAGAAATCACTTCAATTCCCAGAATTCCATTGACAACGACTGATCTGATCTTAAAGAAAGCAGAGATAATGATTGAGAAAAAATACGATGACATGTTGAAGGCGGTGTCTCTAGTTGCTGACAGTGCGAGAGCAGGTAAGAAGTTTTTGTATTGTATTGTATTATAGAGTCACTTCGCCCCTTATGGAACGATTTCAGTAAAAAGTGTTTCCTCGGCTTTTTGGTACTTCTTAATAAAAAAATAGTACTACAAGCACATTCTTTGCTGTATAATCTACATGATTGTGTAAAGACAGTCTTATCGGCTTTTCTCTCTTTCTGCACGAGCAACATTACTACAGGCTACTTTTCTTCGTGAAAAACTTAGGCCACCGCCCCTTATGGAACGACTCAAATTTAGGCATGCATAAAGGGCACAATGGAGAAAAACCGGGAATTATTATCTGCCTTCTTTCCTTCTACCTTTATCATTCGTCAGTATCAAATCAGACTTTCGTTGAGCCATTTGTTTTAAAATTCAGAGTAAAGAAAAGAAAGTTATCCCCAGTTTGGTTTTCTTACTTGAATGAGACCTGATCACTTGTCACACGTTCAGCCACTCATGAATTGTTGAGAATCACAACAGGAAGCCCGCCGTTCTATCGAAGAAGCCACTAGGCCAATGAAAGTGCTCCTGATAAAAAATCCCGGTGAATGAAAATTGTGCAAGCTATTGTTTGGGTTTCAACGAATATTCGTTTTTGGGAGATGAAGAAACACGTTTTGGGGCTTGGTTTTGTTTTAGCTAAAAAACCGACCGAGGGAATGACCAAGAAAGTTGAGGTGCAGGAAAAAAAGAAGGGTCAAAGGTCTAATGACAACTTTTTCGTTTACATTCCGCTTACTTTTAAAATATTCTCCTAGCTTTGAAGAACAAAATGAAACAACGATAATTAGCAAAGAGTTCAAGTAATGTCGTCAGCAAAATAATTTCGCGCGTTTTTGAAGATAAACAAACCTAAACTCCTTCATACTTATTTTTATCAGTGCACAGTCAGAATTCATGAACAAATCGAATCGTTCCATAAGGGGCGACGTTACTCTATTGTAAACACTGAGTTTCTTGAAAACATGGAATGTGGAATGATGGGATGCTGGAATATTGGAATGTTGGAATATGTTTTCTAACAACTTTATAACAACAACAACATGCTAACAAGTACATTTGTATTTAATTTGGGATTCATCGATATGAGAACTTATCGTACAGGAAGCCACTACCATGTAAAGGCTAAGTTTCTTCTATGTACATTCCAGCATTCCAACATTCCAAAGTTCCATGTTTGTGTAAAAGTTTTTGAAAATGCAGCATGCTGTCAGGCCTTAATGGGAGTACCCCCTCTTTGGGGCTTCTGCCAAGAAATTACTCAACCATTTTAAATTTCATTTAATTTCAAACAAAATCAACTTTCATCAACATTCCAGGGAAGATGCTTTCAAAACGTGTGTTTCACTTTATGATAATTGAAACTCAAAGACAAAAGGAGAAATTAGCAATTTTAAAACACCTGAAAAGAAAATAAGAGAAGCTGTGTGGAAGCCATGTTTTCCCTTGTAGTAAAGGGTCGTCTTGATAAATTCAGGGTTATAGGGTCTGCTTTTTCTGTGTGTCATTTAGAAATTTTCTTATTACTGGAGGTACACTCATCACAAATGAAAAACATTCTATAGCTCATTTGAACATTTCTCTTTTACCAATAGAAACAAACAAGCGGTTTAGCAGCGTAGAAAGCAAGGTAAATATGTTATTTATTTCGTTATACTGACTTTACCAATGCTAAGAAAAACAAATGCCTAGTTAACTCGTGAGGAAATAGGGATCATTCAAATATCCAATTGATGTGGATCGTATATTCAGTAACAAAGTTGATGGGGCAGATAAAAAATTAGTGGCTATGTGGGTCTTTTAGCCAGAGTCACTGAATGCTTTTCTGGAACCTGGGAGGAGAGATGGCGCCTGTTATTGCTGTTGTTGATGTTGGTGTTGCTGTTGTTGTTTTGTCATGAAGCTACCAGATGAGTTTCTTAAATTCATACATGTCATTGATAGAATTGGAAAAGATCAGAAACTGAAAGCTACACCAAAATGCTATCGTTTGCAATTTTTTGTCATAGTCTTGTTACGACTTTTTGCCGGCCCATCTCAGCTCGGAGCAATCTGCCTCCTACCCTCTTGTTCTATTTGTCTAATGACTATTGATCAAAATTCAATCTCCGGTAGATCAATATGCTCAGTCGTAAAAAACACCTGGATTTTGTCCCCCAGTCTATCCATGTCACACCAAAATTAGGACTTCATAAAATCTCACTTTTATCTGCCCTCATATACAACAAAATTTTGCTAAGACATAATTTGGATGAATGAAACATTTATAATTGTCTTCTCTGATTAGGTTGAAGACTTGAAGAAAGAAGTGCAAGAAGTGAAATGCAAGAAAAGAAGTATGTTTTCTAATTTCCGCCTTTAAACAATGTCAAATTTAAGTAACTGCCTTTCTGTTTTCAGCAGTCAAATTCAAGTCACGTTTCTTTCAGCTTATCGCAAATCAAGCGTTGTGTGAAATTTGAAAACGACCCTCTAGAATAATGGCCATGTTAGTGTCATTTCGAACGAGTACTTTTAATCTAGGAACGGTTTTATCATCATTTGCAAGTTAGGTGTTCACTTCGGCAACAGAAAAATTTGTGGATATATGTTTTCTTTCAGTAAGGGATCTCTAGTTGCTACACTAACCGATTTGTGAGACGAGACATCTTTAAAAAGGATATCTTGTCTAGCTAAGTGTATATTTTGTCTATCCTGTCTAGCATTTTAAACTATTTGCAATATTGTTGCATCTTTCGTAACTTTATGGTAATCATCAGCCTCACTCTATTCCTAAAGGCCTCTCGAAAGGCCAAATTGTAAAGAAACTTTACCTCTTGAAATGTATAAACTGCTAGTTCGTTTGGTTCGAATTAGCACCATTTCAAAAGCTTTTTCAATATGCTGTCAAAGGTTTAATCATCGAGTGTTCAGATGAAGGGATTTCATGTAATACTAACATTGATCTAGTAGCAGAGGCAGATCCTCTGAAGGACATGGTTGTAAAGTTGGTCTATGATTAAACCCAGCCCCTTTCAGTCATGATTCATTCGAAGGTATCCGCCACCCATGGTCTAGAGTTTCCCGAGTCTGTCATCCGTCCCGAAATTAAGCAAGATAACATTCTTTCAAGAATACATCTCAAGATTCCCGTTTAGCAAGAGAGTTAGGTTCTGCAAGCATTTAAGAAAAGATTAGAGGAAACTAAACATAGTCAAAGAGACCTAAGTAGAGACCTAAGCCTCATAAAATAAGGACATAAACTGCTGACATAAACTGCTGCGGCATGATGCTTTTCCAACATGTTGTTGGTGCATAAAGGAACCCAGAAAATAAGAATCTTTTATTCAGAATATGAGCAGAATAAACTTATTTTTTGGGACATTTTTACGAATGATACTTATAAGATACAAGTTGGGCAATTTTCCGCGCAAGGAATTAAATTTTATCTTTCTTGCTCATCTAAGGAAGCGCCAACTTGTTTTCCAGTTTTCAGCAGTGTCTTTTTTATTTTTTTAACAGCTTGTTTCAAACACAGTAATGGCTCTTCTATGCTCGCTGTTTTTGCCGTTATCATCGAGTTTTTCAGCACTGTTTTTCTCAGCATACTCCATGCTTGCCACAAAGGTATATCATTACATAACCTACCTATTCACATATTCTTGATTTTGGATGAAGTAACTGATACAATTCAAGTCTACCTTATATCAAGTCGAAAAAAAACTTTTGCGTTACTAATATTATAAATCTTTCTTAAGGAAAGTAATTTTTATGTTGCACTGTCATAGTTGGTTTTTTTATAAATTTTTAAATATAAATTGGCAGTTACGGACAAACTACCATTAAAAATTTACCACTCTAAAACTTAAAGAATGTTTTAGAGGCAGAAAAATGGAAAGTCGTTCTCAGCCAATTAGGTGTTTTGTTTACTTGTGTTTTTGAATTTGGGCCATGTCGAAGTCAATATTTTGCAGGTTACAACATGATTCATTATCGTTTGATTTTTCTGCAGTTTATTGTTTGGAGCCAAAGAGAGATCGATTCTCAAATTTTGTAAATTTCATTCACAAGGAGGGCATTCAATATGGATGTAAGTGATTTTAGTGTTTTTGCAGATTTAAGACAAGTTGTTCAATCTGCCTTTATATAATTTTATTGGAAAAAGGATCTGTGTGATTGCTACTCAGTTTCTGCGTTGTGTCCATCTCCGGCCGACCCCAGGGCAGTTACTCAATCAGACCAGTTTTAGTCAATTTTTTACTGGCTTTGTCTTCAATGAACTGTAGATAGGTTTGCTAAAAGTGGATGAAGTTTGCTAGAAATTTTTACTTTAAACATCACTAAAATTTAATCAGTAAGGATTGTTGTAAAGTATAAATAGCAAACAGTTCTTTATCAAGCAGTTTCGTATTATCTATTGTCTTTATTAAAGGAAAAAAGATGTTTTCGCATCCATCTTGTATGTTTTACTCATTTCTTTTTCAATTCATGTAATCACAACATTTTTTTATCAACAGTCCACTCGGACACATTACAGCGGACATATCAGCGAACGCTAAGAAACTGGACCATTCCCTTTATAAACAAAGACAAAGAAATCAGAGTCGTAGAGAAACCCAGGGCAAATTTCATGGTAAAGCTTGCACTAGCTGATAGTCGAAACCTGGATCAGGAACTAAAGTACGCGAATGAGGTCCAGGACTATATAGAGAAGCTTAGCCAAAGTGGCCCGATTGAAATAAAGAATGTTTTAGACGAGGTGATAGGATGTTGTTTTATTAGAGGAGTCGCCGGCGTTGGGAAAACCAGTCTTGTTGAGTACATTACCTTATCTTGGGCTGAAGATGAGTTATTTCGCGACCGCTTTGATGCAGTTTTTCTCATCAAATGTAGATACATAGATTCATTTAGAGTTGAAACGATAAACGCTGACTTTAAGCGACAATTTGGTGTTGACCCTGATATGCTGAGGGAGTCTGGAGAACGTGTTCTAATTATTATCGACGGCCTTGATGAGGTAGCTGATCTCGACAAAATGCTTTCCAAAGATAGTATCATTCATGTTTTGATGAGCAAAAACAGTTGGTTTATCCCAGGTCATGTCACCTTGGTAACGGGTAGGCCCCATATAGAGGCTGTGCTCAGGCAGCATGAATACGACATCACAGGGCAACTAAGGACCATTGAGGTAGTTGGCCTTGTGAGAGAAACAATTGAATTGTTTGTCAGCAATTTCTGTGATGGAGACTTGGCATTGAAAACGAGGATTCTAGAATTCATTGACAGCTCACCGTGCATTGCTGGTCTAGCGACGATACCGCAATACCTAAACAGCCTCTGTTGTGTCCTTGCCATTGAGAAAGAGGGCATTAAAATTGAGAAGTCTACTTCCTTATACATTTGGATTTTCGTTTCGTTTTTAAGACACCACATGAAAGAATTCAATAAATTTCCATATGAAATTCTTGAGGATGAAGATGTGAAAAGGTTCCTAAGCGTTATGTCAAAGATATCTTACGAGCTTTTGATTCAAAATAGAATCGTTTTTAACGTTGGGGATTTCGCTGATTTTGACAACATCATTTCAACTGATACTAAAGTCAGAGAGATGCTTGAATCCTTCGTAATCAAGAAGAAATGTTCCACCGGGCTCTCGTATCAGTATCGACATTTGACACTGCACGAGTTCCTTGCTTCGATTCACTGTTTTAAACACAATATTGATACTAACTTTTTACTTGACAAACAGCTTTTTCAAGTCGTTACCTTCGTTGCTGGCTTTGTCTCTACTGACAAGAGTAATACAAAAGGGACGATCGATAGCTTATTTGCACGATGCCTTGATCGATCACATACTGGTGTCCAATCGGCGGGAGAAATTCTCGAACAGGTTATTGAAAGATATCGTTCAGACAACGAGACTTACAGTAGAGTTTTCCTCACTGTTTTTCGTGAGCTATACGACACATGTGACCAAATATCTCTAGATCTGAACCTTAGTGGCTGTCTATTATATCTAAACCCTTTAACATCGCATAGCTCAATGCTGCTTACACATATGATGGACGTTATTATAAACAATGATTGCCAAAAAGCAATGGGTGATCTGAAGATCTTTTTGTACTCAACAGTCCTAGAAGATTCGAAACTAAACAGAAAGCTTTTCGAAAAACTGCCCTACTTTCAAACAGTCGGGTTCAAAGCGTGTAGTATACCAACGTGTCTGTTTGAAGCGTTGAATTCATCAATGCTCCTGCACAGAAGTGTACTCAATCTGAGAGAGCTTGTCTTCTATAAGTGTGAATTGAGCGAGGAACACTGGAATTGCCTAGCACCCTCACTATCGCTTGTTGAGAAATTCACCCTCTGGGAAGACGAATTTGATCAAAAAAGATGTCAAGTCGTTGTTGAGAGCTTCTCAAGCAGTTTCAGTCTAGGCAGATGCACGACAAAAGAGCTGCGGCTTTTTGACTGCAATATTGGCATGGATGTCAAAAGAGCGTTAATTGACTTACAGAGCTTCATTGAGGTATGTTTTCTTTAATTCATAGCACTTCATGCCTATGTATCTTTGTATTCAGATGATAAATACTTCTTTTTCATCCTGGAGATTGAACGAGCGCGCAGTGGTATAGGGAGGGGGGGGGAGTCGGGTAGTGGATTAGCTCGAATTTTCTAAAAGGTACATTTATCTGCATGATGTTAAATCAGATTGTATTAATAAACTAAGTATGCGTACTCGTAGGATTAATGCTAGGCATCGTTGACTGACAGCAAGACCTGATAGCAACCATAATACATAATACATATCATGATTTGTTTTCACGACATTACATACATTAAGTTCCTGTGTAAGACTTATTTCCCAAGAGCCTCCAAAGCTTTCTTAAAATTTGTTTTTTCTCAAGACGATCGACCAAATGGGACTTTCTGCAATCTTATGGCACAGTAGTATTTATTGCGCTTTAGGCTTGCTATTTTGGCATTCATTGGCTTGCATTTTTAGTTTATGAAATGACAAGACTTTTATCTAAGATTCTACCTCGCCTTGTTTGTTTTTGGCAGTACGAAAAAATGCCTTAAATAAAAATTGCTCTTCTGTTCTTTTGACAGGTGAAATTTTCCAAGTCAACGCAGAATCAGGATGTGAAGAAAGCTCAAGATGTAAAGCTTACAGACTTTAATGATGGTTTGTCACTTTTACTTTCCTTCAGATAAATTTTTAAAGCAATGCCGATCAAACATCACCGACCAATCAACAGTGACAGATGACTTAAATAAACGTATAGGTACGGAAAGTAGAACATTTCATAACTTAGACCAGATTTAGTTACTAAACCTTATGGTTTTTTACAAGGCTGCTATTTTAGCATTAAGTAAAGAAACCATGATATTTTATAAATATCTCAATGTCAGCTTCGACCTATATTTGTCATCATAATAGTCTTATTGTAGAACACTGTCTGAAATTTCCTTACAGTGAAGTGGAAGGAAACATCAATACGGAAGCTGAAATTTCGATCTTCGACCAGCTTAGCAGAGCTGCTAAAGGATGAAAAGGCGGGAGGAAAATGCTGGGTAGAGCTTGCAGAAACCCTTCATTTTACTAAAGATGAGATCGAGAAGTTTCGAAATGATGGTGAACCAGTTCTGCTCATGTTGAATGCGTACGCTAAAAAGCCTGCAGCGTCTATTCCTGCGCTATTGGACGCTTTCGTTATTTTGGGACGCTTGGACTGCTGTCTTGTTTTGCAAACATATATCGTCTCAATGGAGGCAAATTGATAGAACTGAACAATTTTGTGAATAGGAATTCATTAAAGTTGCATCGTTGCATCATTAAAGTTGCTTTATCATTCTTTTCGAAAATTTGCTAAGCGTTTCTCCACTGAGAAAAAATTCGGTTTCTTACGAAGTTGAATAAATCTAAGGAGTTATGATAAGCACTTTTTGGAATCTGCCACTCTTTTTCGACAAATATTTTTGGAGATAAGACCATGAAATTTACGCTAAAAATTTTTTTTCACAAACTTAAATTGTGTTTTTGGAACCCCGTAAATGAATTGTGTCCATCTCAAAATCTGATGTTAGTCATAGTTGCCCGTTCTCTAAATCCATTGAATAAAGGGTTTGGGAATGTTATCAATCTGGTAATTTTGTTTTCTGTTACTCTTCTTTGATCGTTAATTGCTCTGTATGCATTTTGTTCTACTATGAAGTGAACATTGACAAATTTAAGCATCGAAAAAGCATTATATTAACACACTGAATAAAGGACGTCGATATAAAGTTACATGGAAGACAGTCTGAAAAGAGCTCGTTTTAGGAAAAAGAGAATTCTTTGAAAACCAAGAACTGTGCAAAAAAATTGATGTAGAGGAAAATTTCATTCAATTCTTGAATAGTTAGCTATTTTGTTCCTTTGTCCATGCAGACCCAGCACCTCTTTTAGGGAATCAGGACTCGATAGGCAAAATTAAAAAAATGCCTTTAGTACAGATTGCTGCTAAGCAGAGCTCGAAAAACATTACGGCTCCACGGCTGTGAGCCGAAGCAGTGGCGGATTTAAGGGGGGGGGCAAAAAGGGGCAATTACCCCTCCCTTACCGAGTTGAAGCAAGTCTGGCGCCCTTTTTTGGAAACTGTACGCCCCTTTTGAAGATTCAGGTGAATCATGAGAATCAGGTGGAAAAGTTTCTGAGACCTATAGGTTAATCTACTTTAAGGATTACCTCAAAGTTTACTTGTTTATTCCAAAAATGGATCATGTTTTCCTTGAAAAGTCACGCTCAGGAAGATAACAAAGGCTACCCATAAAGTTGTGCTTTTCAATTCCTGCCTTAATTCAAACATTGTTCAATTTTTGTTAACAAACAACAGTTGGCTGTGGCCTTTGGTTCTCAGTCGATGTTGTAAATATCCCGAATCCATTTTCCGGCTGTCTCTAGAATGTCATCGTTGCAAAAAATTTTCTGCCGCCATACAAAGTGGCCGCCTTCATTTGAACAATCAATCTTACCTTTTACAATAATGACGTAAAGTACTGTCAAACTAAAAACAGCCATACTCCAATTGAAAATCAAACCAAATGCGGCAATTTTTTGGGCCCTAATTTCATTTTCTGGGCCTTACCTGGAAATTATATAGAAGACAGCCCCCATTGCAGTGTACTCTAATAGAGTTGGAGGCACTATGGCGGAGCAGCGAATATTCAGCCGGAAAATTTATCTACCTATTAAGAGAGAGATTCTGGCAAGAGGCCTTCAGTAGTTAGGGTCTGATATTGTTGTATACAGCGCACTCTCGTCACCAATTTCTGAATAATTTTCAGCGCCCCCACTACCAACTGCCCCTCCTTCAAATTTGCTCTGGATCCGCCCCTGAGCCGGAGGAAGGTTATCCAACGATGCAGTAGTTTTGAGGAAGGCAAATAAATAAATAACTTTGCAAGAATAAATAAAGTGAGAGGAATTTACTGCTGTGCTTTAATCTTTCTTTTTTGACAAAGCATAAAAGACCAAACCAAGAACGATTTTCTTATCTTCCATTTATATAAAACCTTCAATTCAAAAGATACAAGGAACAATTTTGAGGAAGGCCAAGTTTTATCCAGAGGAAGGCTGGGGCGTTTTCGGAACTCTGCCACTAAGTTGCATTTACTAATTTCAATTGAATTTGACTAGTCCTACCTACTTAATTATTCTTAGAGAAAGCAAAAAGGCCAAAGAAGACGTTTGTTTACAGCGAAACTCTTCAGCCAACGAACTAAAACTTGCTTTCTACTAGCCAAAAATTGTTAAAAGAAAGTGATTGAATCAATTACAAAAAAATAGGTAGATAAAAGCAGTAAGGGAAAAATTTAGTGTGTAAGTTGAAGACAAAAAGTGTTGGTACAAATGTCATTAAGAATTTTTTGTGAAGAGTTCATTACATACCTTAATTACCGGGCGAAGAAGGAGTAAGGCGTGGTTTGGGTGTGGTCTTGGTGAGACTTGTGTTATCTGCAGCAAGTTCTTCATAGCTGCTGGTCATCAATTTCGTTAGGTGAATTTTTGAAATATAGTATGCCAAAAGTAATAAAATTTACCAATGCTAAGCAGGAAAACTAGAGTAGGCTATGAGTAAAGCTTGTAGTCGCTTTACAAAATCATAAATTATTAAGCTTTGAAGGGTAAAGCTACTACAAAATACATTAGAAGAAAGGCCTTCTTCTCACAGAACTTGCCAGGGAGCGAATGTTTAAAGATAGAAACTGTTACGCTTTCAAACCTTTATTGAGTAAAGCTTTACCGATTCAGCCCATATATAAATTCACAGTCACAAGCTACGCCTGCTTATTTTGAGGCCACTATATTTTCACATGCGTTGCTTCGTCAAAAGTTGGGAGTCTTCAAATTTTCAGCAGATTTCATTTTGTTTGGTAAGTTATTCCATATTTGTGGCTCAGCATTTTTGGCTATTCGAACCAAACGTTATTTAATTTGGTTTTATATGCTGTAAGTCACAAGGATTCATTTATAAATGGAGGATTTAGATTAAATTTAAATTTCATACAAAGCGTCCTTTGGCGCGACCATAGCAGACTACATACGAGCTCTTATGATCTGATGGTTGCAAAGAAATCTTAGTGGATGCTCTTGTAACTTTCAATTTTGTAAATGATTTCATGGAAGATAATACAAAACTAATGGACAATCACTGAAGTTAGAGTTAGCAAAGCTCTGTGCCAGTACCATTCCGGCTCAAATCCAATTCATAATCTTTTTAAGGAAATTCATTTACGTTGCAAGTGTGTAATATTTTCTTAAAAGTTAGTTGTAAAAAATGCTTTCCTGCTTAAGGGGGGTTTTTTTGGGGGGGGGGGGGGGATCGCTCGTTCGGTGGTTTTTTCAAACGAATCTTGTGTTGGCGCGCAGCAATGATCCTGCGCAGCCTGGGAACGAATTCCAGTTGACAACTGGCCTAGGATTCAAGATGGCCAATGTCATTGAAGCCGACACGGCACTGTGGCTTCGGAATAAACTGGACAACGAAGACCAGTGGTCATCAGGCGGAATAACATCACTTCTTACTGCTGATGTATTAAGGAATACTTACAGATCGTTTAAAAGCTTGGACCACCGAGTACGTCTGAAATTGCTGCTATCTTTTCTTGAAATCCGAAGAAGAAATCTCGAAAACTTGAAAGATGAGTTGAGCATGGTAATAGGTCTTGGCTTAGATGACGAGGATGACTGGGTAAGACTGGTTGCATGCATTTTATCAGAGTACCCACAGTCTGCTAGTTTTCACCCTGATGTGCGCGAAGGCAGTGAAACATTTGCTCAACTTGTCCATGAACTGGGCGGCCAAGGTGAGTCGACGGCCTACGGCGTTTCGATTTCAAATAGTGTGTTTATTGTTCTGCTGAGGACACAGCTATGCTGTGTTCTAAGAGAGGGCTGGAACTATTAATACTGAAAAATTTAGAAAATTTGAGGAGATTCAAGTTTAGGCTCTTTCTGTATCTTTTTCGTTGGTTGACATTTGTAAACATTTATATGCAGTTCCGGTTGGTACTTCACTCTTTTATAAGTAATAAGGACACTATTTATAAGAACTCCAAGGCTAAAAAAAGTAAGAATATCGGAATAACGTACCAAGCCTAAGATGAAAATAAGAAGAACAAATTTTTTAAAACATTTCCCCTCATGTTTTAACAAAACAGAGCAGTAAGCAAATCAATGCAACTAAAAATTTCTGTCAAAACTGTTGTATAATGGTCTAAATACTTTTTAGCATGAAGGCATATAAAATCAATGTTGAAATGGGAACAGCAATAAGAGCATGTGGGATTCAATTATGAAATTAAAAAATGAGATTAAAGAACAAGAACATCAATCCTTGTCAAAGCTCTTTAAAAAATATGCAATTTAAAAATCAATGCACTCACATTAGAATTTCAAATAAAACTTTTTTGTGGAGGCAGGATAATTACATGGCTATATTCATTGCCAACTAGAAAATAAAGTCTAAAATTGGTGTTGTTTACACTCAGAATTTATTGCAAAATATCTTCAAACTATTTGATACTATCTGTCTGCTTATTCTAATAACCTTAAAACAGCATTCAAGCAAACTTAGAAATAGCAAACTTAAAGATACAACTTTGATTTGATATTTCAAAACATTTTATTGATGATAAGTCCAGAATATTTTCAAAATCATTTTTTTCATTGGCAAGTTATTTCACAACAGGGCAAGTGATATGTGTTCTGTTTAAAGTGGTTAATCCAAGGTCTACTTGATTGTCATTTGCCAACAGAACCGTCTGTATTTGGCTTGCTTATAATATTTCCATACTACTTTTTATAATCCTGTTGTCTTTCATTCTTTGTAACACTTTTTTATCTTTCTATAAAACAATCATTTATATATAGCATCTAATGGTCAAGCATTTAATGATGACCAACAGTAATTGAAAGGTTATTATTAACATTGAAAAGCCAATCTTATTTTACTAGATGAATTATTTTATATTACTAATTGGTTTTAATGTTTAAAGATATCCAGCATAATAAAACTGTGATGCAAAATCTGAAAATGAAATAAAATTATTATTTTTGCTATTCATTCCTGTTTGTCAATTTGATGTTATGTAAAAGGAAAAAACTTCCAGAATGGCTAATAGTGAGTGGAATAATGTTGAAATAACAGGCCTTGCTCTAAGCAAAATGAAGGTGCTCCATAAAAAGAGCCCCTTAGAAACTCTAGGCGCTCTATTTAGCACCTTTAAATAAAATATCCTTGAGAGCATCCTTCAAGAGCTTTGGAAGATCGAGGGCTTCATATCGAAAGCTTTGGAAGAGTGTTAAATAAGAAATTCAACGGTGATACCAAAAAGCACCATAATATGAAATAATAAAACATGCAGCAAACACTATGTTAATACAAATATAGAAATATAGGAAAACGCATGGCTTTAAGTCGAACATTAGCTTTGTTTCCCTTTTTATGCTATTCTTTCTATAAGACACACTAGAACATCTACTACTCACGAAAGCAAATGAAAACTGAAAAGCAATGCGGTAATTTGGACAGAAATGTGATCTCTGATTTGCAAAGGCGATTTTAAATTATTAAGAAAAACAGAAAATAATACTTCAACAGAAGATTAACGCTTGCTCGAAAATCAAATAAATCTTCCGGAGATGAGGGTTGATGGCCTGTGACCTTGGTGGTTATTAGAGGGTTATTTTCTCAAGGGGTGATCTTACGCAAATCATAATATTGCGGTCTGTTGGGAAGATTGTTTATGCTTGATCAAGTTTATTAGACAAAGGCCAAGAAATTATTTTGCTCCGTGGTAATATTGTTTTGACGTTTTGAGGGGCTCTATAAATCGCTCTCCAAGGCTTCTTTTGGGTGCGCTCTAGGTGCGTGCGCTCGATCGAGCGCCTTCCCGGGCAAGGCCTGAAATAAATATTGTTTTGAAATTTTGATCAGTTGAAAGCTGGCTGAGTTAATCAAGTTAAACTTGTGTTTACTGATAGATTTTATAATCTCAATTTAGTGAATGATGGATCAATTAATTGGATAGCCCTTCCTTGTGAATGTCCATACCTCAACAAGACTGCTTTAGTTAGCTCATTTGGCACCCAACCACCTCCATCAAAAAACTTTACATTAAGAAGAAAACCAAAGTCTGCAGCTTTGAGAGCTCATCTTACTCAGAAAGGTATGTTGCAAACTTTGGCAATTATATATTAACAATGATAATAAGGTATTTTTTAGATCTTCTGCTTAAAGTGGAAATTTCAGTTTGCCAATTCAAAATTGAATATTGTATATTTTTCTTATGAATGTTTTAAATGTTATTCGCTCTAATAACCTTGCTCTGAGAACCTTGCTCTGAGAACCTTGATTTTAAGTCCTATTTCGCCTTTCTGAATTAGTGGTTTCTGAATTGCGAATTGCAAACACTTGCAAATCCCATACATGCTTCATTTGATCAAATGTGATGCGAATCAGATTTGAGAACATTGCTTTTGTTAATTTAAACATTGAGGTCTTATGCTTCAAATTTGCATATGGCTTTCTTCCTCATCAATTGCTGTGAAAATTGAAGTGGTTGACATTGGGGTTCCATAAATTCTTCTAGCAGCTCATTTGCTTTGGAAGGTCTTTTTGTTTGATGCTAGCGATCACTTGTAGTGGTGTTAAGTCCAACCACATGAGCGTTTGATTGCCTGCACAGAACAGTAAACTGTGAGGAATAAATGTTTAATCAATAGACACATTTCCAGTCCTCTGACCCACGCAAATGACATAGATAATACAAAGCACAGGAAACATTAAAAGGCTGAATTTAACCTCATCTCAAACTTTGTTAGCACCAGGAACATTGTCTTGGCAGTTTAGGCATCTTTAAAAAAGCTTTGGTACAATTTGTTAAATTTTTTAATGAATTACAAATATTTTCTGGCATCTCCAATCAAAGAGAACTTTTTCATGTCAGACCTCCCTTTGAATATTCTAACAGCACATGCTAAAATGCCCCACAAATGTTTCCAAATAGAGGGTATTCTGTGTGATATTATCCTTTAAATGCCTTTACTGATATTTGTTCTTTCTTTTTACATTGTAAATTTATTTTATATTTTTGCCATTTTAGCATCTGAGGCAGCAACCCATAGAAGGTCGTCAACAAATCAACCACACTCTACACCACTGTCCCCATTAAAGAAGAATGCTGGTCCAGGTATATTGGTGTCAATTCTTTTTATTTTTGTAACAGTAAAGTCTCTTTCTTTAAGCTTTGCTTCTCCTGCCCAGTTTTTGTTACATTTTTCTTTGTAATTTTTAACCTCAGCCATCTGTTTTTTCTGTTTCATTGTGCTTAGATAATTTTCATAAAGGCTTATTTGAAATTTTTAATTCACATTTTCTTCAATAAACATTTTGGCACACTTTTTTCTTGTCATATTTGTAATACTTTTTATGCTTTCCCCAGACAATAATGTTTTGGCCACTGTTTTATATGTTCTTGCTTCTGAACATTCAATTTTTTTTTCTATTCATGTTTGTGGGGCTTTTTTAACCTTTTCTTCATTTCCTTTTTTGATGTTACTTTTTCTTCACCCCTAGTCTATCTTAGCATGTCCCACAAGTATTTCTAGTATTGTTTCTTTCTCAATTATGTTTTCTTATTTCATGTTGAGTTCATCTTTTTATATTTCAATTCACTTTTTCATGTTTGTCAGAAACATAAATAGGTTGCATGTACCCTTCTGTTTTGTTTCTTCACTTTGAATTTGTTCATCAGCATTTTATTTTGCTAGATACAGTCATGCTGACATCTTGTTTTATTTCAGGGTTTTTAAAGGACAGTCAGAAACACCATCCTGCTCCTAGTAAACCCCAGTTGGTAATACCATTAAGGCAGCATACAAGACCAACACTCAGAGAGACCGCCCTCCCGAAGAAAACCAAGGTTTGTGTTTCAAGCGGAGCATATAATATGCTTAAAATATTCCTGCATGTATGAAATGTCAAGAATCTCTTAAACACCTCCTTAACCTTTAAACCTTCACAAGGCATGATTATTAAAGTAGCTTTATCATTCAAGCATTCCACAAACCATTTAAGTTTCATTAACTATTCATGATGATGAATTTTCTCATGTTTATCATTGTCTAGAACACATGAGTAGCTCAAGATATATTTGAAGGCCTGATTTGCAGTTGATAATATATTAGATAAAGGAAAGTGATGCAGACACAATAACATTGAGAGTCTCGGTTTTTGTGACTAATTGACAGCGAATGCAACGTCACAGGGGTTCCATTTTAAAATTTGTTATAAAGGATGACTGCCATGTCTCAAATTTGCTTCAAATATATCACGCAAATCGCAGTCAAATTCAAGCCCTTGAAATAAATCGAAAGTTAGGTCGGTAAGAACTTGTTAATTCATTGGCCTGCCGCCCCTGCTTGTGATGCAATGATATTTCCAAGATGGCGGTCAGGGGCTCGTAATTCGCGCTTGGCCAGAATTGTAGTAATTCTAGCAATTAGTAGACGATCGATTTTCAACAATTTGATCACGATGAAAGGGTTAGACAGATCGAATTTCATGCTGATGCTTTTTCTCCGTGACAAACACGTGTTCGGAAAAAATCATTCCTCAGTTGGCATTGTTCTTAATTGCTGAAATTCTTATGACTGATTGTTATGTTTTGACAGCTTTTAGACATAACCGAACAACCCATTGGAGGAGCAAGTCGGGAGGCTAAAAAGCGACGAAAACAAGCCGGTATGAATATTTATTTGCTATTTGAGGCTCAAACATTGAATTGAAACAAAGGTTTTACTTGTATTGAAAAGAGTTTAGAAACAGAATATAGTTGGAATCAAACTTGCATTTATGATCTATGTCGGCACAGATTTTGGGCCCAGTTCGTCCACACGATTTTGTAATGTTAAGACCTCAGATGAAATTTAAATTTGATAATTCACAAATATATCGTTTCGTTGTGGAACTATTAAAATCAAACATGGGTTTGAATGTATGCTATAAAGGAGTTATATATTAAATTATCTAAACCTACTTAAGAATTTATTAAATATTATTTTCTGTTCAGTTATTTGTTTTTTTAACTGTTTTTGTATGTGTGCTCCGAAATCTACAGTTTAAAGCAGGCTGGAAACATTGTTAACAGAATAAACAGAACATGCAAGAAATCGGATTTTTTAGTAGCGTTCAACATCGAAAAGCTGATTTCTTGTTGTGGTTCTTCTGGTTGGTTGATATAGAAAGCTTTAATCTTCAAAAGAACATAAAAGTACCTTAGAAAAATGCGATTAATGTTGCAGACATTATAGGAGCAATGTCCAGTTTTTTTCAAGGGATCTCAAGTCCTAGACCGCTCAATGTAATTCAACCCAATTTTTCAAGGCCGATCCCACTTTTTTAATTGATTTTTGCTCTAGTAAACAGATATAGGAGTTTCTGTTTGTTATTCTCCAGAAACTGAAGCATCAGCCGACGAACCCAAGCCAAAGAAATCAGAACACAGTCGACAATCAAAACAACAAAAGAGTAGCGAGACCGCTCCAAAACCAATTCCTGAAGTTGCAGCATATGCTGCGGGTCTTAACGGCGCGGAAACCAAGGTAAACTCATATTTATTTCTGTACTCGCATCTTTCTTTGCTTGCAGTTTGTTAATCAATTTACTTCTTCTTCTTCTTTGCATTAGCTGCTTTGCGCTAAGTGTCTTGTTTGTATTGATTCATCGCTTCCTTTTTTTTCTGTTTTTTTCTTCTTCATAAAGCAATGATTAAAATTCATACTTCTTGTAGTTAGGCCATCCTTTTCCGTTTTCTGCCTGAAGACTGCCTAAAAACATTCACTTCTCGACTCCCCAGCAACCAGTAAAGACACATTTTATGTGTATAGACCAGGACTTCCGCCAAAGCCCCCCTCTGGAATACGCCCCCACTTTAATAACCCTCTCATCCCTAGCATCGGATCTTGAATAAGCACCCTCTCGACAAGCCCCCTTATTATACGGTCAGATTTAAAAAACAGCCAATCGCATCCAGGTTTTTCACAATGTTTTTGCACTAAAGCACATAAATTTTTGCTCATATCTGTAGTTTCATGTAACCTTATAACAGCTTTGTTATCTTGGTCACTTTTTCATGAATAAGATTTCCCTTTTCACTAAGATTCCTTTTTAAAAAGCCCCTCTCTCCAGTAATTCCCCCTCTTAAATAAGCCACTAATCTTTAGCACCGAGTGTTGAATTAGCCCCCGGACTTATTCGATATATTACGGTAAGTTATGTAAACAAATTTCAAACCAGGGAGACGCTCAAGTGGTTTCATTTCACTATGTTGGATTATTTTAGACATGATGTTGCTGAAAAATTTAACGGTCTTAACTCGTTCCATGACCACCTCTTCATCTTACGCTTGGATCAAACGGACTTATAACTAGATCCCATAGACCTACCGTCAGTATCTAGACAACAGAACATATGAATTTGGAAATTTTCTTGATCTGCAAAAAGCGTTTGATACGGTAAATCATAAAATTCTTTTGGAAAAACTCGAACACTATGGAATTCGTGGCCCAGTTTTTAACTGGTTTAGATCCTATCTTACTGATAGAAAACAATATGTATCTGTTAATGGTTTTAGTTCTAATCTACGTATCATCATCTGTGGGGTACAACAGGGCTCTGTCCTTGGTCCTTTGCTATTCCTTATTTTCATAAATGACTTATCTTTTTGCTAACGACACTAATATATATTTTGAAGCTGATAAATTTGGTGAACTTGAAAAAGTTGTCAATAAAAAACTGGATTATGTCAAACAATAGCTTGATGCTAACAGGCTTTCTTTAAATATTGGGAAAACTAATTTTATAATTTTCAGGTCACATTAACGCCCTTTAACAGACAATATAAACATAAAAATCGGAACACAAATCATGAAATAATCTCAATATGTTAAATTCCTTGGTATTCTACTTTATGAGAATCTTAGCTGGAAATACCATTTAAGTGAACTTGCTAAGAAGTTTTCATTTCATTTCATTTCATATTGATAATTCAAACTTTTTATTACAATATACTGATAATACGATTTAATATTAATTAGGTAAGCTTAGGACACTTGGAAAGAACTCAGAAGAGCTATCGAGCCAAGTGCCCTTTACACAATTTAACAACAATTTGCAATATAAACGAAACAAATTATGTTAATAGTAACATAACAACAACAACTGAGAAAATAAGATTAGATAAATAAGAATATTAAACTAAGCAAAATGGAACTAAAGTAACAGAATTAGGTTTGGTAAATCAGGATACTTGCTAGTTTATTATTCAAAATTAAAATTGAAATTAAGATCAAAAACGAAAAGACCAAAATACAGATGTTTATTAAAAAGGATTTGAGAACGTTAGCTAGAACTTGTGGCATATTTTTTAAGATAAGACAGTTCGTTCCTGTTGATGTGTTATTATGGCTCTACAACTCTTTGTTCGCTTCTTTTCTCCAAAATGGACTTGTAGTTTGGGGTTTTGCCCATGACATTCACATTCATCCAGTTTTCTTATTGCCAAAAAGAGTGATCAGAACTATTGCTTTTCAAAGTTTCTGTTCTCCTTCCTCTCCCATTTTCTCTGACTTAATAATCTTAAAATTACAAGACTTGTTTCAATTTAAACTTCTATCCTTTGTCTATGAATGTATCAATAGGATATCGCCTGTCTGATTTCATTCGTACTTTGAATCAATCAAGTCTATTCACTAACATGATACTCGAAAGGCTTCTAAGAACGACATTTTCTTAACTCAATAAAACACCCTTCAATATGGTTTAAGACCTGTCCGTTTTTCTGGTGCTGCATCGTGGAATAGTATTCCTACTGACATCAAATAATCTGTATCATTGGTTTTTTTTCGTTATAAATTGAAGACATATCTGCTTGCAATAAACATTAACCTTGAAATTTTTCACCCTGTTTTCCATTTCCCACTCACAGAAATCGGAGTTTCATTTTCGGTATTATTTATTTTGATATCTTTGAAGTGCTGAAATATCTTAATGTATAGGGGGGCCTCTCTCCTCGATTAGCTTTCCTACTGAGAGAGTTCCTCCTTTAAATAATTCCCCATACATACATATTCCACAGATAATTTGTGTTTCATATCTTATTGTTATAATGGTTGTTTGATATTTGATGTTGCTGTATTTGTATTTAGTATTTTGTTGAAATGTATGTTGTGGAATTTAAAATATAATAAACCAGAACCTGACCTTATAACTAGATCCCATAGACCTAGAGTCAGTGTAATTTTGCTTACAGATTATCGAAGGCTAGAAGCCGGACATAAAGTGTGCCAGTTTAATCTTTCGTGTTTCATTTTGCAGGTTGAACCCAAAGAGATTCCTAAGAAAGAGCCAGAATCAGAAGCACAACCATCCTATGCCGTCATACCAGGCTCAATAAAAAAGCCCCCATTCACAACCCCTGCTTCTACGACGGCAGCACCCCGAACGACGGATAAAAATAACATTATAAATGTTGATCCAAACGCCAGTTTAGCAACGCAGGAAATCCAAAGAGAGTTGCAGGTGAGTTCAGTGAGCCATCTTGAAGCCATCAACCTCTTACTTTGTAAACAAAAATCACACAAAAAGTTAATGGGCAAATGGCGCAACTAGCTAATAGGCACATAGGCAGGTTTTTAAAGTTGCTAGGCTAGTTTAGACCGATTATTATTCTTCCGTGCACTTTTTATTAATCAGTGGCGGAAATTGCTGGGGTGCTGGGCTAAATTTTCGGTTGAAACACAGTTTTTAGCGCTTTTGTCGTTAAATTTGGTCATTTGCGGCCAATTTGCTTGTTTTTGTGGGTTTTCATCCCACATGAAAAATGATTTTCCGCCCACTTGTCGTCAATTTTCAACGTGCAGGTGATATTCCTGCGTGGGCTCATGTAGCATACGCTGTTTGCAACGTATACATATTGCTTGCTATACTCATTCAAAATTCGCCCTCTATTTAAGCATACCTCATTGATTCGTGAAGACACTTCCTTCTATATGATAATATCCCTCGAAGGAAAACTTCACGATAATTCAAAAACCTCCTCAATCGGAGAAAGGTCCCCACGTTAGAAAGAGGCTTTGCCGGGAAGTAAAGACCGAATAAAGAGCACACTTGGAGGGTGTAATTTTAAAGCTATTTTATTTTTTCCAACCAGTAGTTCAACCACTAAATGTTTACGTTTTTACGATGTTATTTGTTGTTTTCTTCAATCTAGTTAAGGCAATAAGAACCAAAACGAACTGCGACTTTCATTACGTTTTTTTAACGGATAAAAATATCGTTTCGAGCATAGCCCATTTTGACTTGATAACGGGCTATGCTCGAAACGTCGTTGTCTATTTAAAAATTTTTCCTGGTACAATTTACTTACATTCATTGTTATTATAGCATTATATTGTAACGCACGCAATCTAGTATATTTATGGATAAAAATGTCTCGTCTTTTAAATGTCTCATCGAGAAATGCGAATGAAAAACAAGTTTTGATAACACGTGTTACTAGGCGGAGCTTGCAAAATTTGTTTTCTTTTAGATTCGTATACGGCAGCAGCAAGCTTTGCGGCAGCAGCAAGCTTTACGGCAGCAACAACAGATGTTGAAAGACATTCGATTAAATCAAACGCAAACGAGGCCCTCGGCAGATCCTGCAGTCATGCCAAGTTCGCTAAATCAGCCGACAGCGCTACAAGCATCGACAAACGCAAACGAAGCTCAGCGGCCAACGATGGATTTGAGCCAGCGCACGAACCCACAAGCAAAACGAGGCTTATCATTAACGGTATGTCTTGGAATTCTTTTGTAATTGCAGTCGCACAAATGTAATTTTTAGAGTGGATAGTTCTATAATTTAAATCGTACGCTCCATTCAAAGTCTGTTGGCATTTTTTGCAGAAAGAGCAGATGTTAGCTGCCCAAGAAATGTTCAAATCGGCGAACAAAGTGACAAGAGCGGAGAAAGCGTTGATATTAGGCTTCATGGCTGGCGCGAGAGGTGAGCATTTTCTGTGCTTTGGTTGGTGAGACTTTGAGGGACATGATTCATTTATAATGATCCAATGATCAAGCCAACACCTCACCTTTTTTCATGCACGTTTATGTTGATCAAAGCTGCCTGTTTTGCAAGTTAGTTGCTTATACACCTCAAAATGTTTTCTATACACATGTTGGTTGTAGCACTTTGTAAAAACTGATGATCATTCCGTACTCTCTTTAGTGCATTTAAAATGGCTGCTTGAATAAATTTTGGAACTTTAAAATGTTATTTTCTTTTTCAGATAATCCTTTTCCACAGCAAGGCCCGGTCCTCACGATAAAACTCAGCGAAGATACGGAAAACAGCCAAGTTGGACCTAACAGCGCACAAACAACTTTGATCGAAATGCTATTTGAAATGAACTATGAAACTGGTCATTGGAGAAGGTTAAAAAGAACCAGAGTTTTGGCGCCGATGAATGAGGGTGAAACTACGTAATTTGTCCTACAGAACATGACGATACACGTCGGGTCTAAGACAGACGACTTTAAGCAAGGTTTTTGAAACATGCCTTCAACAATTTCGGCTTTTAGGCCAAGAAAACACCAAAGCTTCTCTGGCCTCAGTCGAAGAGAACTACTTATTTGGGATGCGCCGTGACCCTCCGACCTACGAGCATTGACCTGTGACCTCCAATTTTTAGAACTTTTGTGCTAGGGCAAAGGTCACTTAATAGCCTTCTATTGTTGACCTGTGACCCCCTGCCAAAGACTTGTTTAGATGCTTCGTTGTCAGTTTCTGTCACACAGGTGTTGGTGACCCTTTTAATTGTTTTCAATGTATCCTAAAAATAAATAAAATACCGTACCAAATGCATTTGAAAATCAATTTTGAGTAAATTTCCGTTATAGGCCAGTCAAGTTTGAAGTGAACAGCCGTTTTATACATCGTAGGTTGCGTCTGTGACTTTTTCGAAATGATTAAGTTGCAGATTTGATATGATATTTTCGAAGGTGAAAATTGTGATGGAATCAGGAGCTTATTAGAATATTTATTTTGTAATATATTGTAATATTCTTATTTTCCTGGTTAGACTTGTATGACTAGCAGCAGTACGAGTTTGTCACTGTTAGTGTGGATTAGCCAAGTGGTGACTTTTTCATTTGATTACTTCAGTAATTAGATAAAAACTTATTGAATTGTATTTCAATCGATCATTCGGGGTAGATGTATAGCCTCAGGGTCTAGCATTGACCATAGAGTCGATAGTTCTCTCCAAATGCATTTATCATTATATTTTTAATGAGCAGGCCATTATCAGATGTCGAAAACCGTTTAGTAGTAATACTGTTCATGGCGCTGAAGATCACCTATCTGAAGAATTATAAATATTTTATTTGGAATGCTAGAAGTCCAAAGAGTAATATATTTTACTGGTGTTAAAATACAAGACCTTGTTCTTCACTACTGCTTTGCGAAAGAATTCAACAAAAAGAAAGTTTATGGTTTCATGGTCTCCTCGGGCCTTTCATCATGTCTGACGTCATTTTCAAAATCATAGTGACAAAAGGTATTGGAACTTCAAAGACTTTCGATAAATCGTTATAAGAATCTATGCTCGCTTGAAGAGCTTAATGGAAATGTATTTTGTAAGAAGCAAGTATCGTATACAATAGGAATAGACTTTGGTTCTAGTCGCACCAAATTCAGCTTGGAAATTTGTGCCTGTAACTACAGATGGAAATAAATTGGACAAAAAGCTCTGGATATTTTCGTCTAAACTATATGTATTTGCAATCGGCAGAGTGACTGAAGGTTGAGTGACTATAAACGGATCGATCGAATTTCTTGTTTTATTAGTGGTATTATCATCAAGGTGTTAGTCACGGCAAAATATGTGATAACGACTAACAGCGCATGTTCAAATGTGCATATGGGTATCTTATCTATCGCTAGTTTTGCTTGTATCAAGCAGTAAAAGGTCTCACCACCCCATTTTAAAAGGTACTCCACTCTCTCTTTGCTAGAATTTTTTTTTCAAAGCCTCCTATTTAGTTTACTTAAATGGTAGGTTTGTAGTTCCTATTGATGGAGCAAAATAGCAAAAAATTCATTTATACCACATAGCTTGCAACCTGATCTTAGTTTTCATAGTATTATTGGAAACAAACATCCAAGACCCGGTCAGAAAGCTGAAAGATTTTTACAGCTTCTCTTCCCCCCCCCCCCTCCCATTTCAAACTAAAAAAATGCCTGTATGTAAAATGTGACGAGAAATTAACTGCCAAGTACATGAAAGTTTTGTAAATAAGAAACAATGTCAGGGAGAATTGGCTGTTGATATTGTGTTAAATAGTACATAGGTAAATCAGATGTATTTAAATGTTTTTTTGTAAATATACTGTCAGTCAATTCGAGTTGTTTATGAGTGAAACCCTTTTGAAACACAATTATTGTTATTACAAAGAGGCTGTTGCTGAGTATATTCCATAAAAAATTTGTGCTGCGCAGGCGACAACTCCCCTTTTTGACCAACCCCTTGATGTTGATTTCTGGAATGTAAAGGAGGTCGAACCTAGAGGTTATATCGTGCCCACGGACTTCTTGGCAAGACTGCAACACCCATAGTAAAAAAGCTACTACTCTAAAACAGACAAACTCCTTTATACGCATTCAAAAAACACTCAACCAATAAGCAAACAGAACATGATTACAGCCAATTAAAAGCACGAATAGAACAATAGGTATAATAGCATAGAAGTTAATAGAAACGATGTTGGCGCCTTGGGGGGGGGGGTATCTAAGCATGTTTGAAGGTACGGGGACGTGCCATTATTGGGGGGTACTTTTTTTCTGAAAAGTGCGGAATTATCGGTACCAGTTTTTGAAATTTGTGTGGAGCTACGGGTACCATTTGAAGTAACATGCAGAATTATAGGTACCCTTTTGGGGGAAATATTGCAAGTTTTCAGGAGGGAGATTTAGCATTAACAAAATGAATGTCCAGTTAGAAATAAAAGAATGAAATATGTGTAATATTGAGATTTTGGGGCATAGGACATGCAAAATTTTGTTGATGATATTTTATGTGTTTTAAAAATTTATTTGCTCTGCAGAATTATGGGTATAGTCCTCTTCATGTTTGCGGAATTATGGGTCACATTTTTTCAGACATTTGCCGAATTATAGGTCCAAACTTTAACCTAAAATGGCACGTCCTCGTCCATAATTAGGTATAGTTTACCCCCCGAAGTTCACGTCGATACCCACGAGAACCAGCACGTGACATGAAGTTCGACATGCGTACCGTAACACGCTCACTCCTCAGAAAGTTCTCGATTACAATAAAGCTGAGTGTGACTCTGTGCACCTTCTATTCCTCACACCTCTAGTCTTCAGGTTTTTCTAATGACCCATTTACTTCTGCTACATTTATCACCAATGGGATTCTTCATGGCATGGAACTTTCCATTCCATCTTCCTTCAAACCTGGCAAAAAGTCGGGCAAAAAGTGGTTCAATTCACAGTGTTCCAAAGCTTTAAAACACAAAACTCGCAGCTTCAAGGAATGGAAGAACTCTCAGGCATCTAGAGTTTCAGCGTTGGACCAATGAAATCAAAAGCGCAAAAGCTACTTTTGTCCAATGCATCAACAGCAATATCTCAACCTACCAAACCAGTTCTCGCTCCTGTTGGTCCATGGTCGTCCCTCAAAGTGGGACCTGATTGTATACCAGCAATTATTGGTATGTTTCCATTCCTAAAAAGAGGAACAAGTCTGACCCCACCAACTATAGTCCAATCGCGATCACTTCTCTCGTATCTAAACCAATGGATACCATCATACAACTACTAACGTTTCTTAAAACCAACATACTCTTTGCGAGATCTACTGCTGATCCTCCAGTGTATGTTTCTCATGTTTGGTCCTCTGCTTTGAAATCATTTTGTGAAAATATAATGATCTCTGTTGACATCTCAAAATCCTTAGATCGCGCATGGCACAAAGGAATCCTTTCTAAACTGCCCATGTATGCTCGGCACCAAACCCTTATTAATTGGCTGAAATTTCAATTGCTTTCTCTCTGTTAGGGCCATAGCCATTATAGTTGACGGCTACCTCTCCAATCCCTACTCAGTTAATACTGGCGTTCTTCGGGGTTCTGTCATCTGCTAACTGGCATTCTTTTGTAGATGACACATGTCTATGCTCTTCTTTCTCCTTAGATTGTCAAATCAATTCTGTTATAAACACCCTCTTTCAAAGAAGCATTTCAGCCTCACTTTTAAATGATAACCATGGTAATAGTTGAGAAAAGGGGTAAAGACATTTTTGTTAGGTTTAATCGGACTAAAACCATACAGGCGGTCATTTCATGTAAACGCTAACCCCTCTTTTCAAGATTCATCTGTATTTTTAATGACTTTGAAAGAGGGTCTTTCCATTTCCTTGAAAGAAAACGACGATAATTTCTCACACAGAATTTTTCATTGTAAAAAACTTTATTGCGATCAACAAACCCAATCGCCCTGATAAACCTTGCCCAATATAGCCATGCATAGTGAAGTCATCCCTACTGAAGCCGTTTGATCACCATGGGATCACTGGCAGCTTCTGCTTCACCACAACAACAACGTTACAACAACAACAATTTATTTCGACTGGACAAGGGCTTCTATTCATTCATGTTTCAAACAGACTGATTGAGAAATGGCGTTTTTCAGTCAAGCATTGACAGAAATTATGTCATATGATCCGTCTTTCAAAGGTAATTATTATTTTCTTGAATAAGAATAACAATTTGCGCAAATGGTGGGACACAAAAGCTCTGCTGAACCAATGTTGCTCTGCGAAATGGCATAATTCATTGGTTTGGTTGGGGTAGAGAATTGCCATTGCCTCTAAACACCAGATTAATGGGCTCTTTTTCTTTGTTAACTTAGTTTTTTTTCTTTTAACCAATCAGTATATGAAATATGCCTTGCTTCTTTTCGTTAAACAGTGGAAACACGGCTGCACGAACCTCTATGGAAAAACTATCGCTCTTTTGAAGAAATTGCTGTCGAGATCCTATCACTTGCAGCACAACTTGAAGGCATGTGTAAAGAACGTTATACGGTATGTATATACAGTTATTCAGTTACTTTCCGTTTTGTACAAAGTCCTTCTTGTCAATGCTTTTATGTTGATCTTCGTTTATATGACAAAACCTATATTGAATACAAATTAAATACCATCTCCCATACTAGAATCGACAAAGTCATCAGGCACAGATCAGGGGTGGCAGAGTTGGCAGCTGGGTGGGCTGGGGGGGGGGGCATTTCAAATTTCAAACACCCACTTCAATATTTGCTCTGCTGCCCCTGCATACACCAAATCAAAAACAGATTATGCCACTAGTCAGGCCTCTTTCATGAATTTCAAATTTTAAATTCTTTATGGATGATTTTGAACATCAAAATCTTGGTTGATGATTGGGTCCAAACTTTGGACCTTTCATTAGACATATATTCATTTGACAGTTTTGTATGTTAATAAGATAATTTGAAATTCCTTCTTCTCAAGTTCATATAAATTCTCCCTATAATAACACTGTGAGATCAAATGAATCCTTTGAATTAATTCAAGCACTTGCTTACACCAATCAATTTTCATTCTTGAAATGGGTAAGATATGAACACTGATATACTGAAGTTTTTGTTACAGAAATCCAGTGGTGGCATTGCATCAGACTACAGGAAAGAGTACCTAAACAAGTTTGAGCCTTTAGGTAAGAATTGGACTATTTATTGTTTAATTGCTCATGTAGTGTAAACATATATTCAAATGAACAGAAAAAGTGGTCAAAAAGAAGAAGAAAAGAAAATATAGAAATATATCAGCAAAACATGATAATATGAAATCCATAGAAAAGATAGTGCTATGGTCTGGCCCTAGTCTCTACTTGATGATGTTAAGAGACTGATCAGATTTCTTGATGGTCTCTCTGCTCAAAGACTAAGGGCAGACCAAGAAGAAATAGAAGGATCTTGCTTTATCAAGGGTAATGATGGTAAAATGCAAAACTGGGGAAACAAAGAAGAGATAGAGAAGTTATATTAAAGAATTTGTGAATGAAGGAACTGTGAAGAATTTGATGGACTCTGCAGGAAGTACTAAGAGGATGTAGATAGACCAATGAATTCAATGAAGAAAAGGAAAACATCTGAAACCATCATTAGTAACTATCTGCTTGATAAGAGCAGGAGGGAAGGGTGGAGAAAGAGAGAGGTCCCTATGTGTTCATGGGATGGCAGCAAGATAAACAATTTCCCTTATTTGTTGTAAACAAGTCTAAAATATCCATGCTTTCATTTTCAATTTGTCATCTTCTAGAACCTCAAGATTTGTTTATTTCAAAAAGATTTTATGCACCTTATATTTTTTTAGAATTAGTAATAAAGCATCTTTTGATTTTTAGCTAGTGTTTTTGTTGGCAAGATGGAAGAGTATCTGCAATTTATGCCAAACCCTAGGCCAACTCTAAAGGTATGTGGGGATTGCTGGCTCTTTGATTTCTTGGCTCATTTTCATATTATCATATCATCAGTGGTTTAATGGCAATTATGAATAATATGTTTTAGTAAAAAAATGATGCATTTTCACTGAATGTTGTTGCAAAAGAGTAAAGTCACCATGAAAATACTGAAAGGACCTTTCCTAATATAAGGCTAAAATCCTGTTAGAATAAAAAAGAAACACAGCTTTTTTGCTTTAGTTATCTCTTGGTTTAAATTGTAAGTCTTTTGACTTAATATCTGTTACATTGATGGTTGCAGGAATATTTTAAACAGAGCGGATTGGTTACGCTATTCCCAAAAACAGCTTCATACATAATTAATCCTCAAAGGCCAATGTTTAAAAACCAGAAATCAACAATGGATGGTAAGTATTAACACCATTAACTAGTAAAAGATTTAGCTTTTGCAATGCCAAAGGTTCTTCAAATCAATTTTGTTATGTTAAACATGAACAGCCTTCATATGATTTTTATTTTTTAGTTTCTTCCTTAAAGCATGTAAGAATTTCAAAGGCCTGTGAATATGCTTACTCTCCTTTTTTGTGAAGCAATAGAGGTTTTTGCAAAAACTGATGTTATGGGTTTGCAATCATTGCCAAAAGTACTTGAAACACCAAGCAATTTCTGTTGTGTTTTATATTTTTCAATTATTTTCCCAAACACTCCTGTTTTTGCACCCCTTCCCCCCAAAACAATGCTGATAATTTAGAAAAATATCATAACAGAAGCAAAATAGAAAGTACTTCTTAAAATCCTAACCTGTTTCATAGTAAACCAACATTGTTCCGTGGGGGAGAGGGGGATGATTGATTTTGACCTTGGAAACTGACATCAGTGTTCAGTGTCCCTGCATGGGCATAGCCAAAGTTTCCAAAGGGGGAGGGCCCCTTAAAGGCTTTCATGTGGAGGTTTGGCTGTCTTAATGCAAAAAACCTACTTGAGATAGTGTTTTGCAATGGGAGTTTTGCAGATGGGAGTTGCAGATTAGATTGAGTTGGTCTCCACTGGATCCAAAGATTATTAGTGATCAAATTTTTCAAGATGCAATGAAAAGTAGAATACTGTGCACATCAAACACTTATCATCTTCTTTATAAGATATTAATATAATGTGCTACTTGTTAATGTTTTTTTAATTATTTTTCTTCAGGATATTTTGCACACCTCTCAATCATGAACCAACTTTTGAGGCTTGCTACCCAAATTAATTGTGATGTGAATAATTTAGGGAACCATAAATACATTGCGCATCAAATTGCTTTGTTGTATGTAAGTATATTACATTACATTAAATTATGTTATGTTACATTCTATTTATTATATTCTTTTATATTTTATTAATTATAAAGCTTATATGATATTACTTTTTTCATAGTATGATATATTATGTTAGGTCATGTTATATTATTATATAATGTTTTATTTCATCTATGATGTTATATCATATTATGTCCTTATATATGAAATGATTTTTCTTGCTATCAAATTGATTAAAATGTAATAAATATGCCAAGTTTAACTAAACAATATCTTATTGACTGTAGCTGTTACATTAAAAGACATAAATATTAAAAACATTAAGATACATTAAATATGTAAAATGAATAAATATGTAAATTGAATCTAGCTTTACTTTTTTCTACAACTTGTAGCAAGCTGTCAACCAAGCAGGTCCAAGCCTAGCAGCCATCAAGAAACAAGTTGAAGATAATTTCCAGAATATTAAAGAGTGCCTATCATCTCAGAATAAGGATGGCATTTTAAAGTTGCCATTGGTTCAAAAAGAATGGTATGATTTGTTCTTTTGTTACTATTTCCTTTCAAGACACTCCTCCCAAAGCATTTCAATGGCCATTTAAATTCCCATTGGCTAGACTCTACAATAGCCCTACTGCTACGTATCCAATCAGCAACGTAAGACTAATTCTAAACATTTTCTCATTCATAAACAAACCGCAGTGCCTGTTGTTAACTCTAAACGGTTGACTGATGGGCCATAGGGCCAAGAGTTATGACAGAACAGAAGGCAAAACAAGCAAAGTCTAGTAAAATAGAATTTTTCTTTAGAACTACATACATGCATGCCAACATTTTTGACTACATCCATGCCAACACTATCATGATACTATCCCAATATTTTCACTCAATCATGACCTCCGGCACGCTACCATCATATCAGAGAAAAACTCCTGGAGTTTTTAGGGTTTTTGAATTTCTTGCAAGAGATATTTTTCACTGAAATGCGTTCTTGTAATCAATCTCAAGGGTATTTCAATTTCACTGGTGCAGTCCGAATGGTTAAAAAAGATGAATGATCCACAGTTGGAAACAACATTTTTAAGAACATTTTGGCATAATTTACTTAGACTAAAATACTTACCGTATTATCGAGAAGCAATTCACTTTTGTAAAGAAAATACTAGATTTCCACAAAAACAAAATGATTTCTCAGGATTTATCAATTTCTGTCATAGAGTGATTTGCTTCTCGTATTTTGTCAGTTAAAATCAGAATCTTCAAGGTCCAAATTTGGTTGTGGAAATTTGCAATATTGATCATAAATTATGTCTTTTTTTTAATATTAAAGACTGGGACAGTGCCAATTTTTTGGCTATCACCAGATTTTTGAAAATTTTGTCCCAGATTTGGAAATTTATGCAATTATGTTGCATAAGGTAAAACAAGGAAGAAGTCGCCCAGTAGCATCGCTTTACGCCAGTGGATATTCAATTTAAGAATTAAATTTTACTGTTAAAATTTGCTCCAAAGAATGCAATTTCCGGCGGACTTGAAGTATTAAGATTATTAAAAACTGCGCCCTTCCGCGACAACCATGGTGCCGCCTCAGGTAGTAACTATATTTTTCCCTTGTCCTAATCTACCGATCTATAGGGCAGCGAGATGCCAGGGGCTTTCACAGTAAGTATGACGAAGCAGAAACAATATAGAAGTGAATTTTTAATATCTTCCCAGCTAAAGCAAGGTTATGGGTTTTTGTCTCCCCCCTTTTTACGCTAACATGAAATGCTTCTATTTGATTAGAATAAATTTTTTCTGGCCCCCTCTAGAATTCATTCGCCATGACGCCCCTGGCCCTCAACCATGTCCAACTTGTATGGTATTATCAATTATATTTTAATAAAGTTCCCTCATCTCGTATGAGAATGTTGGCATGTATGTGACTATCCTCTTGTATAAGAAGGTTTAAGCGTGTGTGGCTGGTGTTTTCAAATGAGAATCAGTTTGTTTTTAGAATTTTCGCAGTTATGTTGATATGCCTTCTCAGTTATGTTTCTTCAGACGACGCCATCTTGATCAGGAATAACCTATGGTGTTTATCTTTCCCTGCAAACATAATGATTACTTGATTAATAGCCTCTTCTAATCCCTAGTTTGTGATTCCCTTTCGTTAGTTTCTAGCTTTGGGCATATTTAGAATTGCGTGAAGCTGTTTTGAATCATTTTCTATCTTCATTCATTGTAGGGTAAATTTTGTGACCGGGGATATTTACAACGCTGTGACATCATTAGAATCGCAAATCGCCCAGCCGCTACAGCCATCAATTCAATTCTTACGACAAAATGGACAAGCATGCCACTGACAGGAAAAATAACACTTTTTTAAATATGAATTTTCGATGTGTATTTCTCTCAAGTTTCATATATTATTTTAAAGGAATGTATCCTAAATTTTGACAATGCACATTCTTATTTTCAATACTTTTACTAATATATTTCACCATTTGCATCATAACAGTTAATTACCCATCCTTACCGTTTACAACCCGTCTTCGTGCTCTCTTTGGCAGGTGCTCTAGAACAACGCATTTGACCAAAATACCTTTTTCAAAAACAGGCCTCGGTGATAAGAGGGTCGTCACAAATTCTGTATCTGTCTTTAACTGTAGAAAACTAAATTAACATCAGAAGGTTTATAAAATTTGGCTAGACATGGGAACAGTTTATGTCAGAAAAACGCTGAACCGTTTCTTGTCTAATTGTTAAAGCCTTCCCGCCTTTTTCTTTTAACTTCATTTATGTTTTAAGGAAGTTATTTATGAAAAAAGCCGATACAATATTTCTCAAGAGTTTCAGATGTTTGTAGTGCAATTCGTATTCATCAGTGATTGGCTTTAGATGCACCTCCCCGCGTATAGATTTTTTATTTGCAATAAGCCAATAATGTTTCTAGAGAGAAAGACGTTATTCTATATATTCAGTGAACCTATGTAAAAAAATACGCTCTGAAAGATTGCTTTAATTGCATTTTCACGAGAACGTGAATAAATGTGTGAAAAAGTGTTGATTTAGGGCAAACTTGAAAAAATATTTGCTTGCTTTCACATCCCCCCTTAAAGGCTAAAAATCTTATCAAGTTAGTAAAAAGTAAAAAGTTATTGTTTGGTATAACATATTTTTGGTATGCTCTGAGTGCTAAAATTGACCTGTTTCCGCCACTGTGCCTTCTCCGTTATTTTAGTCCATCTCCCGTCGAAAGTAACAACTGCGGTAGAAAGGTTTTGGTTTACAACTTTGCTTTATTACGAAGATATTTTTTTAGGAGCAGTGTCCTTGTGGTCTCATGCCTCCTGACTCCAGTTGCACCCCTCCTATCCAATGCGAGGGTGGCTAAGTGGTTAGGGTTGCGAAATACAGTTCCAGGGGTCTGGGGCTCGTGCTCCTGACATGACCAAACTTTCACCCGGATTGAAGGGAGTGGCCAGATCTCTGCAATTCCAGGTGTAGGAATCACGAGGTGTGGTCACATGGAGAGGAAATATCAGTACACTGCTCGACATAAGCTTCTAACTGTCCTAAAAACTACTTCCAGATTCTGGGTAGGACCATCCCACCTTCGTTGATATCATGGTCTAGATGTTGGTTACGCTGCATGTAAAAAATACATTTTCCAGTGGGTAACGCACCCAGACAGATACTTCCCCCATCCCTTTCTCCCGAGCTAGTGTCTTCTAATTATTCGGTGAGCGTATTGTAATGTCTTCCTGTTTAGGCCCAATTAGCAGTTTGTCTTTAAAAATTTATTAGCACGTGTCCACTGCTTTGTTTCATTTAGTCAGTGATTAATCTGGATTTAGATTTTGTGATCTCCATTTCATTGCATACACATACACACATACACACACACCCTGAGGAAACATTGTGAGATTTTCAAAAACGGCTTATGAGAATAGGCTCAAATTTTTACAGCTTTTCAAAATACTCTCCATTAGCATCTACGCAAAGTTTCATTCTATTAAACCAAATAGAAAAACAATTTGTCCATTTGTCACCAGGAAGGTCCGAAATCGCCTCTTTAAACGCGTCTACGGCTTCATCCGGACTATCAAATTTCGTTCCACGCAGTTTTTCTTTGATGGTAGGGAAAAGGAAAAAGTCACAAGGTGCCAAGTCGGGTGAATATGGTGGGTGGGTGACTAACTGAATGGAATTTTCGTGCAGAAAGTCAACTGTCAATGCTGCAGTGTGAGCTGATGCGTTGTCATGGTGCCATAGGATCCCGCGCAAACCAGTTTTCGGACGTTTTTCTCGCCATGCATCTAGCACTTTCGGTATGCACTGGTTTACATACCAATCCGCGTTAACTGTGCGGCGATCATCAAGAGGAATCGTTGCCACGTGGCCCGTTTTTCCAAAAAAAGAAGCGACCATCTTTTTGCCGACGCTTCTGGAGCGCTTGAATTTTTGTGGTGGGTGCTCCCCCGGAAAGATCCAGACTGACGACTGGCGTTTCGTTTCTGGGTCAAATTGGTAAATCCAACTTTCATCACCTGTGACGATGTCATACACACGTTTGGACCTTCCACTATCAAACTTTTCAAGCATAAATTGGCACCAGTTTACCCGATGCTCTTTCTGTGCCTCTGTTAAGCAATGGGGTACCCAGCGAGCTGCAACCTTTCTTACTTCAAGATGATCATGCAAAATTTTATTTAATGCTGTCGATCCAATGCCAACTTTTTCCTGCATCACTTCATAGGTCAATCGGCCATCTTCTTTGAGTAGCTTTTCTACAGCAGCTATAGTTTCTGGGACCATAGCCGTTGGTGGTCTTCCCGGGTGGGGGTCGTCTTTCAGACTCTCCCTCCCTTGTTTAAATTCTGCAAACCATCGAAAAACAGTTGCCCTTGATGGTGCACGATCTTCAAAAGTTGCAACTAGTTGTTGTAGACACTCCTCTTGTTTTAATCCCTTTTTAAAATCGTAATATATCATTGCGCGAAAATCGCGTCTTTCAAGCTCCATTTCGAAAATAAAATTTACAGCGAGAGTCCCCTCTTTTAAAAGTTTGTTAAAAAGATATCTTTGAGTGGAAATGGACAAGAATTTGCAAACAACGCTTATAAATGTGTAAGTTTAAGGAAACCTGTTTTATAACGTTGGATTTGGCGCGAATTTTGAAAATCTCAATAATTTCGGAGTGACCCTCGTAAACTGCGTTTAGCTTTCTTTAGAAAAAACTTGGCTGGAGCCCTGTCATTGTTGTGTTTTGAGAAAGTATTTATGTAGAAGTTAATTAAAGAGATGTTTTCATGAATCAGAGGCGTTATTTATATGCGTGATAGTTGAATGAGCTTCCTTCTTTCTCTCTCGTCTTTTTTGCCATTAATAAATACTAGATAGATCTTAGGTAAAGCCATATGCTGCATCCTAATCTATAATCCCGGACAAAATCGTTGAGACGGTCCTGGCGAGTTTTGCCTTTTTTCTACTTTACGTTGCTCCTGTAAATTCGAATCCCCCCGCTTCTACCCGAACCAATGTTGGGCTAGTAGCTCTAATCATTTGTGCTTCAAAAACATGCATTCAACATTGACAGTTATTTTTCAATTGTAAGAGAAAACATAAACTTTTCTTGGTTGAGAAATCCATATAATAAAAACAATACAGTATAAACGTGTTAAATGATACAGAGTCGTACATCGATTAGTTAAAAAAGTAAAATTTCTGCTTAAAGGTATTGCATCACTTTCGCCAAATAAGCAACTTTTTGCTTACACCAAGCAAAGAATGCTTAAATTTTCTGTCTATAACAACCATCTTTAAATACCTAGGTCATCTTTTTTTACTTGAGTAGCTTCCATGGTATCTCACCCTAAATTAAACATAAACTTTTTTATATATTATATCACTGAAAAACGTTTATCGATGCTTTTATATTGTGTGAAAATGGTGCAATACTTGAAAATAATAAATATAACAAATTCTACGCCAATCCCGTGTACATTAACTTTACATTGTACAAATGAATACCATCCTTCGAGAATGTGTTAATTAACCATTTAGGAAAGCAGGAGTTCCTGGAAACCCAGCCTTCTATTCTAAGTATTTTTACATATCTACTCTATATAAAAAAAGAGTCAACCTAAAACCTTCTCTAACGATTTAAAAATTTAAACCCCAAAAATGGTTTTTTAAACATTTTTCTGTCAATTTTAACGAAAGCGATACAGCAGGTTGCGTAATGGAATTTTTTAAGTCAGTTTTTATTTTTACGTTCTTGAGGATTGAAAATACCCTTGAGAGATCTAGAAATATGATTAAAAACTCAATGATTACAATTCATTCCAAATGGTATAGGCTTGGAGTCCCTTTAAAGCTTTGTTTGGATTCAGACGAGGTATGTCAATCAGGCCTACCAAGCAAATACTTTGCCATTCAGTGGTGTGGCTCGTTAGAAAATCTTGAGGGATCCTTTGAATGATTCGCTTTTCGTCTTCGGGGACAGTTTTAAAGTATCTAGACAGTATCATGGGGGTAATTGAAAGTGATAAAAATCACTGAATGTCGTATTGAGTAAATTTTTATACCATATAAGACAAGAGCTCAAAAGCTTATTTTCCCTTGACAGTACCAAGACAAACAAACTCAGTTGAGTAGACCCAGGAATTAATAAACCCAAAGTTTGATGTCAGACAACGCTGCTGTAAACAATTTCTATGTTACGGAAGACAGAAATAACTTCTGTGTCATGACATTGAGTTTCAAATAAAATCTCCATGTGACGAAATCAAGCAAATTGTTCTGTCACAGAAGTTCTGAATTATGCTTTTTAGGCAGTAACACTAAGTGATTACTGAAGAGCATTACATGAAGTTTGTATCTGTTTTCCAAGCAAGATTGAAAGAACACCTTCCTTCGACTGGTAAGAAATTTCCATGCTTTTTTCACCAGAATTGTTTCATACGTTAGTTGCAAGTTATTCTAGGTTATCATTTGAGATTTAATCTCCTTGGTCGTTTTGGTCAGCTTTGAATTAGTTGTCCTAGAATCGTCTAACGACCCTTGGAGTATAGTTTGGTATTATTTCTGTCTTCGAAACCGAGCGAAGCTGCATTTATCGATGTTACTGCTCACGAAGTGTGTTATTTATATTCTGCTATCGCAACTAAGTTTGCGTAACCAAGCACCAATCATTTGCCAGTATCCTCGCTATACGTGAATTGCGTTTCGACAATGCGTGCACGATGGCCCACCGAAACAGGTCGACATTGGTTTCGCGAATGGTATTAATGGCAGTCTCGGCATCTTGGGCGTGGATAGATGGGATGTGTGGTTCAATGTCTTTAGGAAAAGGGAATTGCATACGTTAGAGTGAAATGTCTGTGGTAATATTGTTAAATTGTTCGACGCTGGCGATGAAGCCCTGCTGCCGTCATGTTTGTTCCTCTTTCTCCATTTGGCACGCCGATTTTGAAACCATACCTTCAATTAGAAAAATGTAAGCAAATTAATATAAGCAAATGGTAAATTAATTGACGGCATTTTTTGTGATAAACTATCAGAGCTGAATCTCTTCACATCTTAACAACTTAACCCTAAGGCCTGGGGGGTATTTAAACCTTCTCACGAAAAAGGGCGCTAAATTTTAAACAATGGTGGCATGTGGGAGGGTAAAGACAAAAATATAGGAAACGCCCATTGAACTACAAGGAAACGCCTTTTCATCAATAGGGAATGCCAATGACTAACTTTGGTAGCGTAAAGACCGTTCAAAATTAAATGATTGTATCACAAAGAACTTTTTTGTTGAAAATTTACCCCTCCCCTAACCTTTTCACGTCAAATTTAAATAAAACACAAAATCAAATCTGATGCCCCCAGCCTCCTTCTCAGAACTTCATTTTCCTTCATTCTTGTAGATGGGCTTTTCTCCATCGAAGCGGGGTAAAGGGATGATCTTAAATGCTAATGAAAAAATCATGAACAAATCCATCCCTGTTACTTAAATATGAATTCTTTGGAGGTCTCTTGAGGTTGTGCTGCACTTTCTTGTTTCTTAATCTATTGGAATTTCTTTATTGGCAGTAAAGTATCTATCATGCATATCACGATGCTCCATCATCATGCTTTAAGAATGGTTTCTAGGATACACGATCTCAAAGAGATGAAGTCTTCAGAGTTTCCAAAATTATATTGGTAGTGAGCCTTCAATACAGTTCTAACGAACATTTACAAAGCAAGGCTTTATCGCATACCTGAATTCTTGCCTCTGTAAGATTTAACTTCATTGCAAGTTCCTCTCGAAGAAAAACATCTGGGTAATGGGTCCTGACAAATACCCGTTCGAGTTCGTCGAGTTGGTATGTCGTGAACGTTGTCCTGTACCTTCGTTTCTTTGGTATGCCGTTCTGTTGGTCTCGTAAGCTTGCCAGTCCGTCCTGTAATGCCTCTGTCTTCTTCTCGCCATCAGAAAATGAGGGACTTTCAAGAGATCCTGGAGACTCTTGGCCTACATAAACCCAAAACAGGTGTCAATTAATTATTGTTTGCGGGGGTGAAACCAATAGACAGATTCCTTATTGAATATTAAAATGGTCTGGTAGATATGATTGGCGTTTAAATATTTTCTTGACTGGCAAGACCCTTTCATTTTATTTTAGGGGTGTTTGACACTAATCTCAGTCAGGATTTTCCAGAAAGTCAAGATTTTCCCAACAGGCAATTTTTCATGTCTTTCAATAATATTTGTTGGTCAGTTTTTAGAAGTCGAGAGAACAGTGTATGCTTCTGTGGCTTTAAATCTGTGATAAAGGGCTTAGAGAAATGATCTGCTTTCAGTGGTTCAATGCGATACTTTTCAGCTCCGACGATGCCATTTTTTCATTACAATTTCAACGAACAACTGCAAAAATTTGATAATAGATTCTGGCCTTTTCCAGATCTGGGTGTCTTGATGACGAGAATCTTTCCTGGAAATATCACACCTCTAAACTAAAGAAAAAGCTCTCAAGAAGCTCTCATCTTATTCATTCTAAGACGCCGGCTTCTCCTTGACACTCTTGAGAATCTCTACATTATTTTATCTCCTAAAATATTTCTTTTCCCTGCTAGTAATAAAAAATTCAAATTTATGTATTTGTACTAAGATCAATTAAATATTTTATGCTAAGTTATTAAATAGTAACCCTATTTTTATCAAGTTATCAGTTTCTTTTATTACCTTCAGATCAAAACGGAAAAATCCTTTACAATGGCTATGTGTTCAGTTACAAACAAAAATTTGTGGTATTCTTTACTGTTGTCTATACATGTGAACTAAGTATGGCTATCTCGATTTCTTCTTCTTTTTCTTCTTAAAACATCTTAAAACTTCTAAAGAACATCTATAGACATATAGAGCATCTAAAGAGACCATCCAAAGAAGTTATGAATAAATGTCTGAAACACTTTTATCAGACCTGGGCATCTTGCAACCTACGGACCACATCCCGCTTTTTCGAATTTTCTGTCTGGCCCCTCGTGTGTGGTTAATCAGAACATAATTTTTCCACTTGATCGACACCATACTTTCATATTTCTATTTACATATTGACGTAATATACATATTTTTTTAGTTTTGGAGAAAAGGGGAATTGTGCGGAATACAGTAATCGTTGGTTTGGTCCTTCAATTCAGTTCAGGTTTCTCATGTGGCTCTTGTAAAAACTAATTGTCTATCCCTACCTTAACATAAATCATGATAAGTACACCTATAACATAAAAAAAACACGCTCGAATCCCGAAAGTTAAAACAGAAGCAGGGGAAAAGCTTTTAATTTCAAGGCGCACTATTCATTCGTTTCTTATGGCAAGCTAAAAAGATTCTATTTGGACAACTAAAAATCAATTTATGCTTTTAAATGTGATCATTTTTAAATAGTTTCTTTATTTATTGTATTATTCAATTTATGGTGGAGTGTTTTTGGAAGAACTCTCTCTTTTAATCAATTCATATAGTTGGGTGCTCATCCTTTGGCAAATATCTCAATTTACTTCTCTTATAGTTTGCATCATGTATGTTTTTAGTTGGTTATTATTCCGTAGGCGATAATAACATTCAGGCACTTAGATGCATTTGTCAATAAACTGAAGCTCCTGCGCCATACAACTATTTCCAGTGAGAATGACGCAGTGGTTAAAGTTACGTACGAACAAGAGATCCAAGAAGGTTCTGTGCCTAGAGTCACTGATATTGCAAAACTTTCTATTAGAGTGAGAATGTTCAGCTGCTCCCTGCAATTCCAGGGATAAGAATCACGCTTGAGGTGTGGCCACTCCGATGACAAGGACACTGCCCAATAAGCGTAGCTTCTCATATCTCTAAGCTTGCCTTCCAAAGCTAGCTAGTAACAATTACAAATTCTAGGTGTAATTTTCACGGACACGCGAATGACACAAATCCGGATCAAAAGAGGAGTTTAGCTAACAGTCAAGAGCATTGAAATCTCGAGGCGATCTTTAAAGGGAAGGCTTATCCCCATACTGAGCAGAGCTAACCGCGGCCATCATGCTTCTCTTTGAACATCAGCACCGGTGAAAACCAACAACGATGTGTAATCTATTAAACAAGGCGCCTGTTGCGACAACAATTCAATTATACAATCTTTCTGATAGTTTAATTACACTATATTTATTATCAAATATATAAGATTATGTTCCCCACAATATTATTTAATTATAGGCGAGTCATAGCCAGCGACAAATTGAGAGATGTGGCTTCAGCATGTGAAAGGATCTTTAGATGGCTGTGACTAAGTGGCTTTGTGTCTTCAGATGACGATTCTGTTGAACAGGCCAGTTTTAACAATAGCATCCATCACATTTGCAATTTCAAAGCGCTAATTTCTTTAACATGTTATCAAATCTCAGAAAAACAGTTACTGAATGATTCGTTTGCTTTGCAATAAATTTTTAGTTGTTTTGCAATCCAAATAGAATAGTTGGCTTTCTGCCTGTCGCCTCGGTTAAATATTCGTATAAACATCAAATTATGTTTTAATTACGAACCTAAACAATATACGATTAGCATGAAATTCTTTTTTAATGAAAATTCCATTTTTAGAGGGCTTATGCTGTCAATCATAAACTATTTTGCTTGTTAATATAACTTTAGCAGATTCAGAGAACTTTCATCAACATTCATCTGTGGCAAATATTGCTGAATGGATGAAATAAAGTTTCAATAAAAACCTTGAGAATAAGAATTAATGGCAATGCTCTGCTGCTAAACTCAACGCAACCTTTATACCGCGAATCTTAATATTTCTTAAATGGTTTGCAGATTTAACTCAAGACAATTTTTTGTAAAATTTAGATTGAAAGATTGGTAACAGGTATGCTTTAAAAGGCAAAGATGCGACCAAAATGATGTTACTTAAAAAGCACTAGCCACAGGACAATGGAAAGATTCTTTTATATGAAGAATAAGTTGATAGCTAGCTTAAGATCTATGACTATAATACTTGGTTTGCCATTTACCAAGATGTTCTTTTCGGAGTTTTATACTCTTAATCAGTTAATGGCAACGAACAAGATTTAAGTGACAATAAACTATTTTTCTAGCTTGCAGGACAAATTGTTTTGTATTCGTCTATTCATCCTTCTAGCCAGTTCTACAAGCCTGGAACATAAGCTCCTTCAAACAGGACTGCCAGCAAAAAATGTTAGAATTAATAATCCACCTTTTTTCAAAAAGTCTAATGATCTTTTATCTCAACTTTTGAAATCTAATCTTTCCATGTTGAATTATCCTTAGTTGAAAATTTCTTGACCAAGTAAATGGTCCCAAATGTACAAATTTACTCAGTCAGTCAAACATGATGCACTCGTTTATAAGTAAAAGTCCTTTTTTTAAAGTTATGCAGAATTTTAGCTTAAGTTGTATTCTGTTGAGGGATCATTCTCGATATCAACATGAAAGTATATTTGCGCATAATCTTCAATATTTTATAAAATAATCGGCAATATTTTCCGTTCTCCGTTCGTCTTTCTCGTCCTTTTTCTGTTAAAAAAGGGATGATCTTCTATTTCGTCTAAAGCATCACAGCCTTAACTTATAGTTTTTCAGAGAATATAGCTCTCCATAAATGTTCTCTGGCCCCAGATCAGTTGTTTGAACCTCATGACAGGGCATCCTACAATCTATTCTAAGAAATGTTATTAAGAAAAGCTCATTTTATAACCCAAAAAGCATTTCATGTCCGTAAAATATGTACAGAAAAATTTTGCAATACATTGGAGGAAATTGAGCTTTTAAAATTGATGGGCAGTTGAAACTCTGAAAAAAGTAGCTGGAACATGCTTTAAGGAGCACACATTAGACACAAAAAAGAGTACCACCATCTGCCCGTCGTGACCCGGATTTTTTGAGAATGACCAACCCATTTCCGTGAGATTCTTTGTATGGGCATGAATACAACTCTGTCTACTAGCTGACACGCCAGGATCTTTTCTTGCTTCAATCAAAAAGACTCTTGATCCTATATTATGTCAAATCGATATATTCATTTTTCGCTAAAAGCGAGGATCGAGTAAATTACTAAGCTGCTTATTTATCTGTTGTTGCGCACATTTTCCTTCCTTCGAGAGATTTAGGTCCAGTGAAACAGTTTGAAACTGTGACGCAATCTTAGCGCCATTTAATCCTTCCTTTGTGGATTGTTTCAGCTAGTGCGCAGTTGCAAAATATCTCAAATAAGGCAGTACTATCAAAATGAAGATAGAGTGGAAAAGAAATAAATTTACTTGATATTGAGCTTAGATTCAAAGAGATTTAAACGGTTCAAGAAAACTGAGTGTTCATTGTTCTCTGTTGCTCGCTGTTTCGCAAAGGCAAAAGGAGATCTCTAGATGTTTCACTTCAAAATATGCCTACAAGATTTCCAATGAGAAAGTATGCCAAGCTGTTCCTTTATTAATTGTTCCCTCCCCAAATACGCCTAATCATTTCATCTTTATTCGAAAAAATTATATATATTCCAAAATGAATGTGCATTTTCTTAAAAGGAAAGCAAGTTTGAAGCAATCTGTTTATTTATGTTAGTTTCAAAATGGAGTACTTCATTTGTCAGCGTTTAATGTTATAAATTCAGGAAATAGCTACAAACATCCCAAAAATCTTAACACAATTTAATATGATTATTAAGAAAGACAACATTAGAGTCAGCATCACTGGAAAGAAAATCACTTAAGTTGCAGATACAAATAACGTTATGTTGTGCTGTCAGATAGGGGATTTAATTTATAACACAAACTTTTGGCTTGTGGGATATCAAGGGTGGCTAGCTGTATTTTTAACTTCTGCTTATTGGCGAGCATTTTTGAACATTTCTGTTTTTAAAGCGACGGGCGTTTGCAAATCTGAGCACGAGAAAGTCTCTGTATGAGTAGGTGCAAACAAAAATACCTTGATATTCAAACAAAACTTTATCTCTTTACATTCCCTCTTTGTCTGACCTTTTTCGAAGTAAAGGGACGACATTTGTCTTACCAATGCTGTCTCTAGTTGTGGTGCCGAGAAGTTCAGCAATCAGCGTAAAAATCTTTACTGCTCATCAGCGGTGTATACAATCTCATTTCAAAATGCCACGTATGAAACACACCTCTTTCCCTTACTATCTTCGAATTCAGGTGAATTTGCTATGCATCATCAAAGAGGAAGTGGTTCTGATGCATTTTGCCTTTTGCGGCTGCTTCACTTTGCTAAACTAGTACCTGTCCCTTACCGCTTGATACCCATAACTTGAGTTCAGTTGACTAAAAATGACAGTTTTGGATGCCAGTAATGATATTGAAATGTAAATGTTACACGAAGAAAAATTGTAGAATTTGACGTACCAGGAGACTGCGCTCTGGACGGTGATGAATCCGGGCTCGAAGAACTTTCGGAATCGTAGCGTTTTTTCTTTGCATCATTTAGACCAAGAATATCTGCTATGCTGTATGATTTGCAACGCTTCTTATCTGCATGCATCGTCGAGAGTCTTGAAGAAAGCAAGAAGTAAAGATGTTTTAAAAACTTCTTACAAGGAACAAGAAGAAAAAAGCAAAATGGTGAACCGGCCGAATTCGACTTCTTCATTCTCGAATTTTCATTAAAACTTGGCAAACATACTTGCCTCTGCTTTTTGTTAAGACTCATTTTTAATAACCAAGAGAAGGCTCAAAGATCGCAATGTTCATTAGAAAATTGTTTTGTAGCCGTTCTGTTTTCAATATCAACGGCGTCTTAGCAGTTATAAACTGAAATTATTAAAAAATGTTTATTAAATCCGTTCATGATTAGTCAGGTAAACTTAATTGCTGATATCATTCTTTATTCTTATAACAAAATGTGCTATTTGTTCTTTGTTATTTAAACCTGTTATAGAACGGTTTATTAATTGCATGCGATGGTGCATTGCTAACTGGGAAGGGAATGTTTAGCAAGTAAAATGAAGTCAAGTTTAAATCTATCATCGACTTTGTCGCAACGATCACAACATCCGGCTACCGCATCGCTCCCCATATTAATGGAAATTAAAATACGATACAAATACGTTTAATGTTGACAATAAATTGAATTGCTATCGTTGGATATTTGTTGGTAGGCCACACCAGAAGCGGTATTACCTCATGATCAACTAAAACCAAGCCAGAAGCGGATTAGCAAAGAGCTAGCCGCATGTGAATTGCAATATTAATTTCACTACACGGCTATCAATGATATTTAATAGGATCAAGTATGATACACCATGTCTTATCATCTTAAACTAATAAATTGCTAAATTGTATTAGATCGATACAATCTCCACTTTATTAACACATTGAGTTAAGTAAACGCGTTGCCTATGAACTCGAAAGCGGCTTTTCAAATCGTTTATTAACCACAATCTCATTTCAACCGTTCCTCTACTTGAACATATACACATTTTTGGCAACAATGATCCTTCACTAACGTCATGTGAATTTTATGTGATCTTTTTCTCGTTAAAAGATTAAACAAGAAAGACAAAAGAGAGGATTCTTGAGGGAATGCGTTGATCTTATAGACAGCAGAATAATTTTTCCTCTTTTCAGTTAGCATTCATTCCTGGTATTTTGCGCGTAAAGTTGTCACGTTCCAAGTCGTTCTTGATCATTCAAACATCATCTTTCTTTAATAAGCAAAAGCTACAGTTGACGCATGATAAATTAAAATAGAGAAACCTTTAATGGACAGAAGTTGATAAACCATTTTGATATCAGAAGTTACATTCTTCATAGATGAGAAAGAAGATGATATATCCTTTATAATTGCTGATGAATTTACTCTTTGAAATCCAGTATAAGTGGAACCCTGGATAAATAGGACACCCGCTATGTAGTACAGATTTCTCCGGTCCCTTGAACCTGCTTACTCTTGCCAAGCATTCGGATAAGTAGGACGCCCGCTAAGTAGTACATTTTTGCTCGGTCCCTTGAGTGCCCCACTTAACGAGAGTGTACTGTAATGCCCATTGATAAACATTTTTATCCATTAAGAAAATTTGAAGTGCTCATCCTTTTAAGTCAATGCGCCAAAACATCGAGAACCTTTGAAATAAAGCAATAAAAAGGCGTGGATGGGCGTGGTAGCTAAGAAACGTTTGGTCCTGTGTCGTGTGACTGCCGCTGTTTCTAGCAACAGGTTGGAGACTTGCTTAGGTTAATGATTAGCAACAGGTTGGAGACTTGTCCTAGAAGTGTACTCGCCCACTTTCTAGATATATATAGACTCTGTCTCACTCACAAAGGCCCTCTGCTTAACATATAACGGCAGGGAATGAGACCGAAATGGCCATTCATTGTCAAACTAGATGCTAAACACATTTTGTGAGAAGTATCTAACAGGCAGACTCTTTGATAACGGACGGCAAATGATTTTAGAGAATATGGTATGTAAAAAGATTGCAAATCAAATTAAACGTTCTTTTGCAACGGAGAAAAGGTAGGATTGAATGAGAATACAAATTGTTCTACAAGGCAGATGCCGAATGGCGCTAAAATAATAATTGATAACATGTGAACAAACATTAATCGGATCAGGTGTTGTTATCACTGCAGAAATTTACAGTCGTTTTTCACCATACAATGTTTACAAGTCAGAAAAAATCTCAGAAGGTGCCGATAGCGCACAAATTAATTTGAAAAAATATTACTAAATGTTGTTTACGTTATTCAGGAGCACGGGAATATGAAAAACAACGTGAATGCGATTTCCGATTTCCCATTAAAAGCATATGAAAAATTCATAGGATTTCTAGTCGATGAAATTTCCAATGTTGTCACTGTTCCGACAGTCTTTTCCAATACACTTAATAGAATTGTGTGTTTGAAGATCTAAGACTTAATTAGCTTACCTTATTAGAATTATAACATAAATCTATATAATCTATTGCTTCATGTAATTTTATTCGCATTATGTAGGGTTTAGAAAACAAAATCTCTCGAAAAAGTAATTTCATTTAAGGAGACAAAGCCGAAATATGTCACAAAAGATTGAATAAGATGAATGCCATTTCTCCCCCTGTTAAAATCAGATGTTTCTCAGGGTCATCCGCCGAATAACTTACAAGCTACAAATTTAGTTAATTAAGCCGACTGATGTTATCTTGAGTAATCGAAATCGCGTTACGAGCTCTGGTCTATTCTTGTATAAAATACTGTATTGTGTCGCGTGTTCTTAATTCCATAAGCTTGTCTGATGAAACAATCCACTTTTGGGGATATCGCGTTAGTTCCATGATAAATTCATTTGAAGTGGCAAATTGTTTTAATTACAAGTTTGTTATTATTCGTTGTCAGCGTTCCTAGCTTTTAGGGGTAATTGTTTTTGTTACTCACACAAGTGTAACAGGATAATGATGGAACAGTGCGGAGCGATGAAACAAGACGGAAAGCGGGCTTTGAGAGTAACCGAAGTAGATTTCTTAATGGTGTATGGCTGTTAATATAGGGGTAAAAATTGGGGGTGTGTTTTCTCTGGTTTCCACGATTCAAGACAAATGGTTGAGTTTTCACTGAGCATGGTCATTCAGAAATATAATTTTGGCCAATGCTGTGATCCCAATTTTGATTTCAAATTCAATTTGGCCGGTATATGCTATAATTTGATAAAAAAGAACTTATCGACTAGTTATGATTGCCTATGTCAAGTGTTGGTCCACGTCTAATGCCTTTCTGCGAGTTTGTGCCCAGATTCCTTTGTGCCAGATTTGTGCCAAAGTTGTGGCAGTTAAGTTTTTATAACAAGAGTTGTTGTGTCTAGAAAGCAAGATTGGCCTTACATCACAATCGCTGTATGGTTTAAAAAGTTGAGAGACCTAATTCAAGATTTTTCTGCCACTTTTCTTTTCTTTTACTTTGTTTTTAATTCATATTCTGGAGGTAGTTTTTTTAACACTGAGAAGCTTATGCTTATCGAGCAGTGTCCTGGTCTTTCTTCTCGATGTGACAACACTTTGTGATTCCTAGGCCTGGAATTACAGAGAGCTGGCGATACCCCTCAATCCGGGTGAAAGTTTGGTCATGCCAGGGGCAAGAACCTCAGACCCTTGGATCTGTTGTCCGAGACCCTAGTCACTATGCTATCCTCGCGCCCGAGTCATTCATTTCTGCTTTATTATATAGTTGTGATTCGGTGGTAAAGATATAGACCAATGGACGCCAATACTACCGAGGGTATGTGCAAAATTGTAACTGTCTATGGAGATCCAGGGAGCGCGATACTAAGCTATACCAAATATTAGAAAAAAAAGTCCCTTTCAAACGAAGCAATGCAAATTGCACTGGAACAGACGCTTGCTAGTTATCGGCGCGCGTTTCTTTTCTCTACTGGACAAATCCAATTACCTAGGTTTATGATGCAACAGGCCATTACCTTATGCAACATCTAGAACGCCGAACGAAATGAAATTTTTGATTATTCAAAAGCACTGGGCACTCGTTGTCATGCACAATTAATTTGCCAATACGATGCATTGCAGAATTCAAAAACCACGTAGATTTTTCAGTAGTTGAAGAATTAGCAAGAGCGTTGATCGTCATTCTAAGGAAATCTGAAAAAGCAATATTTTCTGGGAACGAAATCTTCTTTCCATATTCCGCCAACTGCCTTTATGTTTTCATCTAGCTCTCGATAGCGCTTTATTTATTTGGATGATAAGTCTACTGGTTGCATTATTGCTTCCATTTATTAATTTTTATAATTTCAAACAAGTCAGCTATTAGTAAAACATGTCAAGCAGATGAACATATTTTTTTCGGAGAAACTTTTCATTTGATACACAGCAGAATCAGAAGGGAAAGATTTCAAGATCTAACACTGATTGAAAATTATTTAAAATGTGTATGGAACTTAGTCACCCTGCGATTCTATTTTCTGTTTTGCCGGAGAGGAATTTTTTCTAATAACATCCAGCAAAATATATGGTAACAAATCTTCCCAACATCCAACTTTGATGTATTAAAAAGCCTTGACGGATCCTGAATAGCTCTGTGAAATACTCTTTTTATGCGTCTCCAGCTTCCTTGCTAAATGTCTTCTGAAACAGATATTTTGGTGATTCGCAGCTTGCTTTTCGATCAAAACTTGAAAACGCACTTCTCTGTATTTCTGTTCTTTTAATAATGAGATGCAGTGAAGACAATAATCATGGGTCTTTTATACTAGAAACAGATGCCGAGATTTTAATAATTTTAGGAAGAGAATCTCTAACTTTTGGGAACTAGTAATGCATTGAGGATTATAAGAAATCATTCTTCAGACATGTTCCTACCATTCAATAAAGAAATATTTTAGATGACAAGGTGATACAGAATAAATTTGATAGATTTGGCACTTAATCATGTATACATGACGGCAGCTGCTTCTAAAGAGAGCGATTGGAGCAGATGGCAAAAGCTCCACTTTGGTCTTTGATTAAATTTCTAGAATCGTAGCAATCAAGACAGATCTTTAAACCTAGAGAAATTAAAATGCATGGAAGAAACAATTTGTCATTTTTTTATTAATTAGCTGATTTTTATTGGATTTTTATAAAAAATCAGCGCAGTTGGCTCTACAAGCATCCTTTTTAGAGTATTTCACCTGTCACTTTATTATATCACTAAATCCTGAAACGTTTCTTACGTTACATGTAAAATTTTATGCAGCTTGTATATGCTAGATAGATTTTTCAAAACTCTTAACTGTTAGTAACTATTTACAAAAAAGAATTAAGCAAACTATCACGGTAAGAGGATTTGAAGAATTCCAATATTTTTGGCAGAGCTTTTGCAATGCCATGCCACTTTGACCATACTTATGTATGATACAAAATCGGGTAAGCTTTAATATCTTCAAAGACACAAATATAATTATCCCTTAAAGACCATAAAAGATAATTTTTTGCTCGTGTTCACATTATTTAGTGCAACATCGTCTGGTACCTATTATTTTCCTTGACACGTGTCTTCTTGCCTTTATTTAAACTGGTCGTCTTTCTTCTTTTTTCCTTGTTCATGCCTCACCAAGATTCAATTTTTTGAATGTTTTTTTGGCTTGCCACTCTGATATTTCTCATTTAATAATCTGTTTCATTCCTTGATGAGCCTCTTTAAGAATCCAGTTGAATTTATTTGCTGTAAACTCAAGAAAGACCAATTCCTTGCAATTTTTTGCTATGTTTTTTTTACAACAGGCTCATGTTTATTTGAGATGCCTTCGTTTGCAATCTACTTACAATCAATTTTGTTAGCAATAGTTACATGTCAAGAAGCCGAATGTGAATCAAAATCTACTGTTCTCTGCCCTGCACGATGATTTTTGAATGAAAATATAAAACCGTAAAGAAATATCAAGCAGAAATATAAATATGATCTGGGCAGATATAACTATTTACAGGGAGACTGTTATTTCTTCTTTAGTTATTTGAAATATGCAGGGAAGATGTTGACATAAAAATTCCCGATGCATACATGCTAGCAAAGGAGTTATGGAAGTGAGCCAAACCATTTTTTATTAAATTTTCTTTAGTTAAATTCAAAAGTTTACGAAGGCTTCTAAATTCTGAATGTTTTGACAAATTGCAATTTAGCACAAAGGGTTGCAATAATACTGTTGCTGTAATAAAGGTGATCAAATATTGCATTTACAATTAAATATTGCTGCAATTATAAAGTTTCAAGGATCTTTGGCTTTCATACTTTAGAGATTAAGGAGCAGTATACATTGACAAAATGGCAGTTTTCTCAAAGACGGTAAATCTTTTGCATACACAGATGTGTTGATTTGATTATATTTGCTTGAACGTAGATAGGAGCCGGAACAGAACAACTACCTGTTGTGATCGGGGTGCTTGCGAAGAAACCGCTTAGAGCGGCGCGTCAAGAAGATTCACTGACCAAATTGCTCATACACTTAAAACTAGCAAACTTCAAAAGTCCTGGGCAACTAAAGTTAAGTACATGGAGAAGGAAGATTCGAGTTAGAATATATCGTTTTACCTTTCAATTGCCTTTTCTTCGTCTTGCACAGAGTTTTCTTGCATATTCTGCTGTAATTTAAATGTCCTTCACTAGACAGCTGTTTCTCTGCTTTGATTATTCCCTTGTGCTGCTGCAAATTTTGATCAACTGATCTCAGACGAATAACGGCAAAGACGAGTAGCTTTGAGCACCTTGGAGTGTGCAATTGCTTAATAACACTTCCTTGTCAGCTGTTGCAAACCATTCGGGTTGACAAGAAGTAACTATGGGCTTTCCGACTTGCACGTAGGAGAGTTTGTGGAAACTTGCAGCAACTAGACGCTTGATCTACTGAGCCCAGTGAAGACCGTTTCGCTTATGAAGTCACCAGCGAACCCCAACCGTTTATTCATTTCACAGTGTGCATCTGGCTAGCTACCTATTCAAGCATTTAATTTGTATGATTGCTTATACGTCTTCATGCATTTCTAGTTCCCAGACCTTACCTGTCACAGTCCCGCCCCAGCGGTCATAGGCGATAGCTTTCAATAGAATCAATGATTTCTATTACTTAATGCCTTGATACTCGTTTACAAACAAATCCATCGACCGCGCTAGCCTGCTTTCTTTGCACGGCATTTAATAGCGGTTAACCGTGTACAAGTGTCTTTCTAAAACAGTCTATGGACGACATATTAATCGATGAAGCACGTTTGACTTCTCCTAGAAAAGGGTTTAGCCTGCTACAAAAATACTTAGACTTCAATCAAACATAGGCACATTTATTTTATTTTCTTTCAAAAAACAAATTCATCACAAACAATATCAAAAGCTTAGATAATGCTAATATGGTATATTATGTCGCTGCGACTTTTTTAATTTTCTCTCTCGAATATATTTTTCTTTTTTTTTCTCAACAAAACTCAAAACTTTGAATTTAAAAATTATCTTTGAACTTAAGCTTCATTTATTGAAGTATTTTATCTAATTAATTAAATCATCGTGTTATCTTCGAATAATTACAAAATCAAATATTTGTATTTAGTAGATATTTGTGAAAAGTATATCCCTGAGAAGAAGTTTGATATGCATTTAATATTTTTAAAAAACTTTTGGCATTTTGTAGATGCGACTTCCGTGACTTTCTTAAGTGTTAGCGAAATTCGCCGCTAATAAGCCTCGTCGAACCAAGTTGTAAATACTTGCGAGTGCGCTCTGGCATACGGGTCAATCTTGGCGAGCTTGGTTTGTTGCTGGCTATGTGACCCGTGCTATGTCGCATCTTGCTGGTATCTAGGCAAGCCGCAACATGCGGTGTCAAACTCAGGTCTGCCTGCTCTTGATCAATGGATACCCACTAGCTATCGACAAAATTTGACTGAGCATGGTCTGGAATTATAAGCGTAAGAAATTCAAGGGTTGCTTACCCAAGCTGCGACGAAGCTGTATTGCAAAGAATGCCTTTTGCATTGCAAAAAACACATAATGAAAGAAAGTTTGAATTAAGCTAAGCCTTTCAATAGTGAATCAGTTATAATTATTTAAGTGTACATTTAGAGATAACTTAATTAGTAAATAAAATGAATATACAAAGTGATAGAAAATATTGTAACGTCTATGAATGGAAAACAGCAAGCGAAGATAGTTAACGACTAAAGCAAAATATAATTAGCTGTTAAAATTCATATGCAAGAACTATTAAAAAAGCTTAACAGATTAAAAAGCTTATCTAGAACAGATTCTTTTTTATACTAATAAACATGCAAGGTTATTTGCTTTAATCCACACAGAAAGGAGAAAATGAACTCAATAAAAACCTTTAGAAGTAGTCAATTGGGTATTTTTTGGCTTCCTCTCTTGCAGAACTTTGAGGAATTCTAGCAAAATCTTTACTTATGAGAAAAACCAAGTCTTCGGTGCAGAAAGATGCAAATGCTCCTAAGGAAGTTGAACAACGTTTGGGTAATTCATAAGATGTTTCAAAGCTTGGGTAAAAGGTTGAATTATGGTGCAATTGAGAAATGTTGATCTTCGCAAAAAACAGACTCAATTATAGACTCAACTACAAAATATTTGCAGTACAGACTGTTTTTTGACTTGGCTTTACATTTGGACAAAAGCAATGTAGGAGCATGAAGTTATGAAAAATACTATCCGTAAGAATTTTTGAAATGCGCAGAAAACTAGTTTTCTAGAAGTATATAACGAATTGAGGCGGTGCTTACCTTGCGTTATACTCAAAACATTAAGAATATATGTCGGTTCAAGAAGATGCTTATATATCATGTCTACTAAAATGGGTCTATTTTGAGGTTTTTTCTTCCTTTTAATGAACTAAAGTACTTGCTGGAGCTCACAAAAAAGATAACTAGAGGGGTTGCAATAAGATTAACTTGTATTAGATACAACATTGTTCAGCATAATTTTGAACATTCACGTACTTTCATAAAGACGTTAAACTATCGTAGAGGATTGAAAATATTTCTGCAAATTTTCAGCACCTGAATGTCAACTTGACATTTTGTTTGCCTTCAAATCTATTATTCTTCATCAAGTATATTTTATATTTGATAACATCTTAAATACTTTGCCATTGGAGCATGCGATGTTAATAGAAACAAATTTAAGAGCTTGATGATGCAACTGAAATAATCTTTTATCCAGTGACTTGGATTCAAAAACTTAACTCCGAGGTTATCTTGGGTCTTTTCTGACATAATTGCTTGAAATTTCTGTATTGCATCAGGCTAAATACATAATTGACTAACTCTTAAATCAAAATCGAATTTTTGTTCAAGTATCAGAATAGAATGTTTGCCTAAAAAACATTGTCTGTTTCTGATATTTTTTGCTTATTTCAGCTTCTGAAATCTTCTGAAATCAAACATTTTACTTGAAAGTCTTAAAAAATCTTTGATACGAGCTGTGTTATCTCTCAACGCTCTCTAAATCTGGCCTTTTGCCGTTTCCTCCTGATAATAATCTTATCTGCTTGACCCTATCTTTGTTATCATTGTATTCTAATCAATCTCTTATTTTAAATTATCCTGACACTAAGGTATAAGGTAGCTTATTTTGTATGTGGTGGCCAGTTCACAGTTGCATTCTTGCTTTGTGTTACTTCGTAACAATCACAAGTCGATAATAATATAAAACGCAATAACTGCAAGATCACAATTTATTAGAGCTCGGGAAGGTATTTATCTACTTGGTGATTAGTGAGATGTTTTGCACGGATCGCTGCTGAAATAACCACGGCAAGCATAAGGCGTATGAGCATAGCTGAGATATAAGCCTGCTTCGTGCTACGCGACCCATTTGTTATGATTAAAATTTGGAGGTGACCTGGCATTCGATAGCCGCAACATGGTTCGTCTGTTGCGCAGCTCGGCGTTACAGGTTCAGCAAGTAATCACCAGATACGACAACACATCACCGAGCAGACCCAGAGTTACACGCTCTGAAGAAAGGGGCTTCTATCCACGCTGTGTGTAGGCTTTTAAGCGTCTTGCGAAATTGCAAGAGCAAACCTGGAAAATAAATGCAACAAAAAAATGCTTTGATAAGAATGGTTATGTATATTTAAGAGTTCCCTGATATAAGTACAATATTAATTTAGGAAAATTAGCATAATCAAGAAAATAACACTTTCATTGATTTTGAAGACAATTCTTTAGCATAAAAAACGCCACACCCATTTTTCATTCGAAAAGAAGAAGCTATGACAAAACACAAATTTGCCCTGGGTTTCTTTGCTGGTTGCAGCTTCCGAACTATTAGGAAACCCATCCTGTGCCATAACTGTGCCAGTTATCATCAGTTAGCTATTGGAGGCTGGGACATGTGGATATACTTTTGCGCCAACATAATCATCATGATACTATTAGCTATCATGATCAACAATTGCAAAATTCATATCAAAAGTAAATTAACTTTGCAAGAAAAAAGAGCCAAAATGTCTTCCTTCCTGCAAATCGCACAGTTGTATTAAGCCATATACAGACTGCTTTTAAATTTATTTCACAACAATAAAGAGGTTGCATTGAGAACGCAATTTCTTATAAATATTCAAAAAAAATTTCTTTAAATCAAAGTTTTCATCGTTCAATGCAAGCAACTGTGATCTTTGCAAGCACTACATATGCAACATTGGTTATTTATGACCTATATTATGCGATGGTAATCTAAATTAGATTGCTTTAATTAGCTTCAGTGCAGCTGGATGTTGTACCAACTTTAGATAAAGAAGGTAAAAGAGGTGATAAGGGGTTTTACCACCTTGAGCAAAGCGTGTCAGAAATTTGAACCCTTTTCGTACTAGGAAGAGGCCTCCAGAAGGGGTATGGTACAGGGTATGTGCTTTATTCCTTTGTAAAGCAATTATATATGTATTCTCAAATGGCTCAAGATTTGACTGTAAGCAGTTTCGTCACATTGTATCAATGTCTATTCTGTTGTCAGGCGTCACACTTTAAGAGCGGCATTTTGTAGGCTAATCATTGAATCCGAATAATCCCCCCCTCCCCAAACAATTTTTCGTTAGCTCCGCCTCTATCGCAAGGATTTGCCATTGGTGATGCAAAACATACATGTATACTTTGTTTTTAAAATGATTAGCATTTTGTATTCGTTAATGGGCATGTTCTGCTTGTGTTGTTTTATCGGAAATTAACATGCAGGGTTAAGGTTTATGTCAACAATAATGACACTCTAATCACATATGTGAAATATGTGAAATATTAAAAAAACCATGCACTACCTGCAATTTGTAAGCCATAAATTTCCTTTTTATGACTACTAAAAATCATACAAAAAACCAACAATTCTGCTTACATCTAGTGGTTTTTTACAGATAAAAAACACCCCGTTCATATTTCCACATCTAAGAAAATAGAATCTTTAATTTTATATCTTTTATATCATTTATTGGCAATATACTTTAGAATGCCTTAAGCATCATATTTTTAACGTTACTAAAACCATTTCAATGTTATTTTAGCTCTGTTTGTAAGTTTGTAAATAAGTAGCCGTCCTAGTTACCCTTATTCCTTATTGGTATGAAAAAATTTAGCAAGAAAAAATTTGACATGGAAGAAGATTCGGGTGAATTTTCAGCAGGGCATGGAGACTTTGATACGATTCTAAAATTGATAAGAAACTGCAAATCAATATTCATGGGTGCTGGTATCTCAACCTAACCTTATAGATTATCAAACTTTTTGACTTTTTGCATTAAAAATCATATTTTTCTTTTGTTGTTTTTTGGTATTACCGACAGCCCAAGAATTACGAAGATGTCTTATGATTTTTAAAAGCACCATCATAGACCTGGTAGCCGCATCGTGCGTCGTCTGCTAGCCAGAATGAATGTACGAGGTCAATGAATGTTCATTAAACAGGTATCCGAAAACAAGTAAACATGCTCTTTTGTTGCACGCTTGAAGGAAAAAGGCTTCTATCAACTATTTTGCAAAAGGCAGTGATTT